TGCTGATCCTTGAAACTGGGGTGTCTAGGGTGTGTAGTTTTCAGGTCAGTTTTTGTAGGAAGTTTGATATTAATAGCGGGAAGAAGTTGGAAAAGATGGGATTTGTAGTTTTATGCTTGTTCATGATTGGTTACGTTTCGCTGATTCAGATGGGTGCTTTCCAGTTATGGGCGGTTCTTAGTTTAAGGAAAAGGTTGGATACTGGGTGTGGTGCGGGAAGAGCAGGGAGTTTTTAGAAAATATGCGGGAAATTTTTTGGCGATTGCAGTATTTTTTGTGTCCGTAGGGTTATGCCCTGACCCGGCTGTTTTATGTGAGGTTATTTTTAATCGGATTTTTTCCGGCATTAATATTTTCCATGAGAATATGAGGGGAACCGGTCGACGGATTTAGTAAGAATATCAGGGATCAGGTTCCGGGGAATTCCGGTCTGGAACACTGCTTCAACATTCCTATAGCTTTCCGTTAGGAACCTTTCGGATACGACGAGAACGGGTCGGAATGAGCCGGAAAATGGCTGCCTTCCCTGTGGTTCCGATTGTTTCCGGAGGCCGGAACGTTCGTCCTGGGTGGCTGGATCACCGTTCCTCATTCACCTTATTCTCCAGACTTGGCTCCAACAGACTACCATTTGTTTCGTTCTCTTTCGAATGATCTATGTGATAAAAAGTTCAAGGACGAGAGCGGCGTCAAAACGGAACTTATCATGTTCTTTGATGAAAAATCCCAAGACTTCTACCAGCGCGGGATGATGTCTCTGCCAGAAAGTCGGCGACAAGTGGTAGATAGCAATGGTAAATATATATCTGAAAACTAGTTGTACTTTTGAAAAACAAACGCCAAAACTTTGTTGACAACCTAATATTAAAACCGATGTTTTATCGATTAAAAATCGGATGAAAATCAGATGGAAATCAGGTTTTCGAGTTGATTTTTTACATGAGGTGTGTACATAAATCGATATAATTACATACGAAAAGAGGAAAATCAAAGAACCAAATATGTACATGCTAAGCAAGATGAAGAACAGAGTATATAAGTGGAGCAATAAACTAAAAAAAATGATCTATATACTATAGTTAATTATGAAGAGAACAAGATTCCCTCTTCTAACACACTTTTTCAAAATTTTCCCCACCCGTGCGGATGCGCACGAAGCAGAATCTGCACCTCTGTATACGGTCCTAAGTATCATTGTGAACTAAACGCTATTGAAGGTCTCTGGTGCAATCAGAAGGCATCTGTTCGCTCACGCACTGATCAAACTTTTGACAAAATGATTAAACTAATAGCGGATTCTCGTATACATATAGCACTAAAGTTATTTCGGCGTCTCTGACGTTCAATCGAAGCATATGCTGACGTGTTACAATTGTTTTCCAATCAGCTTTGCAAATCATCAGTTCAATCACATCGTCGAATATCAAACCAAAACATAGATCAATCTTAATCAAGATTTTTGTTCCTTTAATACGTTTAGTCGACGTGTATTACTTCATATTATACTACTAAACATAGTCAGACATTAATCTACCTAATAAAGACAAAGAAGTGTCGATTAGAATCATAAAAGTGTCACATTCCCGAATATATATTTGCAGAGACCCCATGTAGATCCTCTGGAGACATTGAGATTTATCCATACGACCAAATTTTTACTCAATTGGAAGAAAAAAATGGTTATTTTACTTGCACGTCACCTCCCCGTTTATTCGTCCTTAATAATATAATAAAAACGATTTTTCTCAACACAGAAAAGGAAAGAACAAAAATGCTGTGTCATTATGTAAGTGGTGGTATGGTGAGTCGAATGAGATAGCTTTACAGAATCCACTTATAAATGGTGCACTCGGCAAAATTCGAGACGTCGCCAGAAGCACATTTTTTTATGTGGAGTCAAGCTGAAAAGATTTTCCGACTCAGTTTGTCATGCTGAATCAGAAAAGAATATTTTCAAAATCAAAAACATAGAATAAAGTCGAAAATTGTGCGTGTTTTGTGAAAACACGCATTTTTCTCAATAGGCGACACCGTCACAGTATTTCATAGTTTTTGACCAGACAAAAGATTTTGCTAAGGAAAAAAGTAGATATTCGTGATCTACAGATCAAAACTCTATTAAATGGTGTAAAAAAGTGGCAAAAAAATTCACCCGAAATTCGTTTTACCGGCACCTTACATATGAAACACTTTTTCAAGACTAAAATGCAATACGTACTATGCCAAGTTGATCGAAATAGATACCTTGATTTGCTAAACATTGTTAGAATTTCTTTGTTTTTTTTTACATATGGACCAAAACAGATGTTTAATATAAAGAAATAGAACATTGAATTGGTCTTCCCCATCGAAGAACGTTCGATATTCTTAACAACAAAACATCTCCAGTTCTGATATAAATTTCTGTGGAGCCCTCTTTTTCGTAATCTTTTCCCATGCATCTTACTATAAAACTTCCTTGTACGAACAGAGAACATTACCAATATTACAAGTTTCACCCATAGCACATGTAATTCTACAGATAAATGATGTTTTACGTGTTAATTCCATAGATCTTTACAGATGGTTTACATCCATAATAACTATTTCATAATGGTCTAATATCTTTCAAATCGTTTCACTTTTCACAACATCATTCCGATCTAATCGGATGCAGATCACATACAATCGATTCCAATCAATTTTAGCTCTTATGTAAGCTATCTAAAACAGACGCAACCAAGTTCTGACTAGATTCTAACGAATACAAGTCCAACTTTAATGAATTCTAAGTCTAATGCAATATTTGGATTTGGTGCATTCCTAGCTCATGTTGTCCACCATGCAGACCAAGTATCCATGATAGTTCTTTTTTTTAAGTTCTTGTATGTAAAGTTATAATAGGACTCTACGATTTCGGCAAAGTATACTGTGATCTTCTGTCTTTCAATTTCTGTTAGAAATATTGAATTCTGTCGATTGATTTGTCTAATATTGGAAAAGTCATTACTAAAGAAGCATGTCGTGCATATGCTTCAATCGTTAGAGGACTTCTCCAAAACAAGAATAAAAAATTCATCATTAACTTGTAATCAATTATATCGCGATTCTGCACCTGATGCCGTCGATTTGAACAAAATTCAACCTTATAATATGAAATATCTGTGACATATAACACGATCGGCATCGTATGCTTATGATTTTTTCCTAACTTCAGGCTAACCACATATTATTGTTCTCTATTTGGATACTCATGATCTTGATTATTTTCAGATATCTGCACATTTTGCAATAGTTTTAATTTTAATTCATAAATATTTACAAACAAGCAATGGCGCTGATTTACTTCATTGTTTTGCAGATGTATTTCGTTCAGTTACGATCGTTGCTATGTATTTCATAATTTCATATCACTGTCAAACGAGTACATCCATGTGCATGTCCTAACATTAGATTTGTTAGATAATTGTTGCATTTTGAACACACAGACTTAAAAAGTGACTGGAGAATGTATACATGAAGATCTATAATTTTTTAAATAAGCCAATTCTTTTTATTGCATATTTAAATATTATTTTTTTCTGAATTGAGCAAAGGGGAGATCAATGTTCCAATTTCTTTGATAATATACTCGAGAAAAACCGATGCTAGTGATCTGATGATATGCGTCTTTTGTTCTTAAGAACATACCGTGTACGTGGCGTCTGTCAGGTTTTACAAATTGATTTTAACAACATGAGAGCAACAACACATGCCACATAGGTACATCGCTAATCAGTGAAACAACAAAAGAAAATCGTGAAATCCAATCTATTGTGCATATTTTTCTGTTATTATCATCCAAAAATACTGTTCTTTTTATCTCTAACCTTCGCCTACGGATTAATATTTCATATCACCACGCATGCAACATGTGGCAATAAACTAATCTCTCTGCTTCCGAATGAAAGTATAAAAACGATCGGCAATTTTCATAATCCTCAGTCAATTTCGAAGCCAAGTACCCGACAATAATGCGTCTTTCAACTGGATTTGTTCTGCTTTACGTCGCCATCGCCTTTGTACAAAGCAAACCTCTTCTCAATGGAGCCGTTGATTTCAATTCAATCATTAATCAATTTGCTTCACAAAATGTAAAAAAATATTTATTTCTCTACTTTCATCATTATTTCCCCTTTTCTCCTTCTAAATAGAATGTAGCAAATCAATTCGTACCCAGTGGTGTACAAGCGATTATTGCTCAATACGCACAACTTGCAGTAAGAGATGCCTTCCGCCTACTATCTGATTTCCTCATGTCATTCATTAGGCTTTGGCTAATCAAACTGCAAATGCTGTCAGCCAAGTTCCAGTGCCAGTATCATCAGCTGAAATACAAGCCTTCTTCGCCTTAGTAAGTCAAGTCAATCAACAAGTTGCTAGTGGCCAACTCAGTGCTGCTGATGCTAACAAACAACTCGCTGCTGCTTTTCAACAAACATTCAATGCTGGCAAACCAATTGCACCAGGCTTCGGAACTCGTGCCGCTCCATCGGCTGCTCCAGTATCATCAGCTGAAATACAAGCCTACTTCGCCTTAGTTGATCAAATCAGTCAACAAGTTGCTAGTGGCCAACTCAGTGCTGCTGATGCTAACAAACAACTCGCTGCTGCTTTTCAACAAGTTTTCGGCTAAAAAAATTAAGCTTTCAATACTGTTGCTAATGTTATTTAAGAATTGATTAATCTTAACTAAAGATATTGAAAACTTTTCTTTTTCTCTCTGTAAAACATTGATGCTTCGAATTTTATTCTTCTCAAGTAAAATTGAATTGAAATAAAAATTTGTTGAATCAATTCTTATTGCTTTAATACTAATAGATGTTTGTTTGAATATTGTCACCACGGGCAGCCATGGAAAGTGTGATAAATGATTGTGGATATTGTATATTTGGAAATCGATATATGCGCATTATAGGTCGAATTAATGTGAGTAGAGGGTGAATAGTTTATCCAATTGTTGAGTGTGGATCCAGACGAAATAGAATCTCCATTAGATAATTATTGAACATTGTTAATATCCTTTATTTCAATGTTCGTGTAGTAGATTTCTACATGCTTTATAACAGTCAAAGAGAGAAGAAGTGTACGAATGTTCGTCTAGGATGGCGAAGCACAAATGAATGATAATATTTGTGCTGAAAATCATTTTGTATTTATGGAGTTTGGATGAAAGATAGTATTTATCAGTTGTTTTTGTCGTAATTGCTGATACGCTTATGCTCCTTCCTGTAGTGATTATAGGATATAGTAGTAGTAGTAGTAGTATGTTGCTTTATTATTGATGAATAGACATTTTGTGGGTTGAGGGAGAAAAAGCGGACACAGACGAACATCGTCTCGGTAGTAAAACAACGACATAGAGCAAAAAAAGAAAGAAAAGGCGAATAGATATAGATGTCCATGAGAATAGTCAATTGTAGTAAAGATTGATTGGAGAGAAGAAAAACATTTTAACCGATTGGCTACGGGAGTATCATATATGATACTTGACTGTTGGCGGTGACATTTATACAAGTAATCAGAAATTGTGTCGTCTCTCACGTTCTCTCCACTATTGTTGGCATCTTCTATGTGGTTTAGTAACACTATAATCATGCAACGATACCTTCACGCGACTGTTCTTTGTCTAGTTTCCGGACAAATTTGGAAACTTTCTACGTTTTTCCTTTCTTATCTCTCACGTACCGTTTTCTTACGCCATCTCGTAGAATGTTCCACTTTCAGTGCTATGTATAGCGCATTCGGTGACGTCACCATCTGTACATCATGTCTTTTTTTCTGTCATTTTGTGACGTCATATACACGTATATGTATTCCATATGTACCTCTGTTCGTTTTTTCTGATATCTTGCATCGGCGCATATATGTTCACGTACATTCTTTTTCCTTCTCGTTTCTCACTGTTTGATAGTGAGTGTTCTCGCTCGTATTTTCTAGTGACTTCTTTTCATCTCACCGTTCTTATATAAATATACATCAGTCATTTGTAACTAACAAGAAATGGCTTCCACGTGGCGTTTTTCAGTAGAGCGAGTTTCAGAAATTTTCGCTGACTCTGATTCTAATGGGAAAAATATTGATTCACAAAGTAATGGTGAAATCTCATCAAGTAGCTCCGAAAGTGAACAATTAAGAGACCTGGACGAATCTGGAATCTCGTCAGATGTCCACTCTCCACCTAAGAAGAAGCCAAGATTCGAGTTCAACTGGTCCAATACTTCTTTCAAACCTCAGTTGTTTATTTTTGCCTCAAGCAATTCAGGTTATTCAGGCAATTCAATAAGCAATCCTTTGACGTATTTTGAGCTTCTCGTTGATAGCACGCTGCTGTATCTTATTACAAAGGAAACAAATAGGTATCAGACACACTCGAGAACTAACACATCTTCTGGTCACATGTCCCAATGGGAATCAACAGACACAAATGAAATTTACGTGTTTCTGATGACAACAATGCTGATGGCTCATACAAAGAAGAATCGAATTTCGGATTACTGGTCCACTGATCATCTTATATCGACTCCAATGTTTTCGCAGCTCTTTAGTAGAGATAGATATTTGTATCTCTTGTGATATCTTCATTTCAACAATAACCAGCACCATCGATCAAGCGATAGGCTTTTCAAAATATATACAGCCTGTTGTCAATCATCTCAGAGATAAATTCAAAACAACATTGGTTCCTTATCAAAATTTGGTGATTGACGAGAGTCTTATGCTCTGGCAAGGTCGACTCGCATTCAAACAATATATCCCCTCAAAAAGACATCGTTTCGGAGTCAAACTTTACATTTTATGTGATTGTTTCACTGGTTTTCTACTAGACTTCATTATATACACAGGAAGCACGACTGAATATAAGCACACAAAGGAGTTCGGTGCGTCAGGATCCATAGTCATGTCTCTGATGGGCGATTATTTGGATGAAGGCCATAATCTATACGCTGACAATTGGTATTCAAGTCCTAAACTGTTTGAAGACCTGTACCAAAGAAGAACTGGAGCATGCGGTACTATACGCAAAGATCGAATTGGATTTCCAAAATTCGATGAGAAACTCGAGAGAGGACAACAGGTACTCAAACACACCAAGAACCTTTTAGCATTGACATGGTACGATAAACGAGAGGTCCACATGTTATCGACCATACATACGACTGATATGGTTGCAAGTGAAAAGACGGATCCTCGAACAAAGCAGAAGCTTATGGAACCAATTTGCATTGCTGACTACAACAATAATATGGGCGCTGTGGATTAATCGGATATGCAGATAAGCTACTCTGAATCAGTTAGAAAGTCTATCAAATGGTATAAAAAATTCTTCTTTCACTTACTCGATATAACAGTGCTCAATGCATTTATATTGTCAAAAATGACGACAAATCACACGATGCAGTTAGTTGATTTTCGACTGCAAATAATTCGGGATATTATCCAAAAGTATGGTAGTCAACGAGTAGCAACCAGGGGTAGACCTTCATCAACAACTGCACCACTCCGATTAACTGCAAGACACTTTCGGTCGCCAATCCTAGCTACAGACACACAGCTAGCACCGAGAAAAAATGTGTTGTCTGCAGCAACACTGTGAGACGTCCGAAAAGAAAAGATGTTCTCTCTCGTTATCAGTGTACACAGTGTGATGTAGGCTTATGTCTTGATGACCGTTTTAAAGATTCTTTAAGAATAAGTAAATATATATTTCAACATTTGAAACGCTTTGCGTAAAATTTTATCTGAAAAATTAACCCCGTAGCCAACCGGTTAATGGCATGACAGTTCATTCATTTTTAGGTGAACAACGTAATTCAGGAAAGCCACGTGCCATAAAACCAGATGATTCCAAATTGGAAAAAGAATGGAGACCTGTTGAATATTTCTTCATTGATGAGATGAGTATAGTTGGCTTAACTTTATTGGCAAAACTTAATCGAATTATTTTCTCTGCAAAACATGTCGATCCTCAGGTTCCATTTGGTGGTGTGAACGTTATTTTCTTTGATGATCATTTAAAATATCGACCAGTCTATGATTCACCATTACATACCAACTTTTCATTACCATCCAAAAAGAAACCAGGCAAAATACCATCTGAAAAAGAAGTTCAACAGCGTGTTGCACGTTCGTTGATGCTTCAAATCAATTGCGTGGTGAAACTTACACATCAAATGCGAACAAAAGATTTACGGTATCTTCAATTACTCGATCGTCTTCGCCATGGACAGTGCACTTATGATGACTATGAGCTATTGCAAACACGAGTTGTTGGACAACCATCAATCGAATCTCTACATGATTCTCCTTGGAACAAAGTAAATCCATTCTTTTAAATGTGAATAACAGTTTTCTTTTTTTCTTTTTTTCTTTTCTAGGCTTCCATTCTCGTATTCCGAAATGAAGTTCGTACACAAATAAATAATAAAGCAGCAGTTCATAATGCAACACAAATGGGACATCCACCTATGGTTTGTGTTCCTCAGGATACTTGTAAAGGCAAACCAATTGAAGACCCGATATTGCTTAAAAAATTACTAGAATTATCTGATAGCAAAACAGAGCATTTACCTGGCTTACTACCCTTTGTTCCAGGTATGCCTGTTATTTTTACATAGAATATCGCTGCTGGACTTGGTCTCATCAATGGTATCAATGGAATCTTTCGGCAGCTAGTATACCATGAAGAATCTGTATCAACAGAAACTTTATCTGAAATGTTCCCAAACAATACAAAATATATTCGTCGACCAATAGATGCTTTGATCGAGATGACCAAATCGAAAATTTAATGCAAACTTCAAGATCTTGGACCGAAACTTATTCCAATCTCACTAGTGGATCAAACATTTCGTGTCGATATTGCCAATATTCTTCCGAAAGAAAAGAAACCAAAATCAAATCAAAAGATAGTTCTGTCAATCAAACGGTCTGCACTACCACTTGTACCTGCTTATTGCATGATAACACATAAAAGTGAAGGCCAAACTTCCCATTATCTCGTGTAAAACGTTTAGTCGATCTAGCAATTTTGCGACCATTTGACTACAAAGTTTTGCTTATGAAACCAAATAAGTCTCAAATCGCCGAAGTAGAACGACTTGATCAGCTATATATAAACACACAAAGCCGTTTCTCAGAATGGTTTCAATAAATTTTCTTCATTACAGCATAATTCCCATTATTGCTGCGTAATTTTACTGTGCATAATTCGTTTTCTTATAGGCTCTCTTGTAGTTTATGTATTCATGAATGTGTTCGAATCAGGTATTCTTTGAACTAGATTTCTTTTTCTCTGTTGGCTATGCTATGCACGCAATGTCAGATACACAGCAATGACTTTTTTACTTTTAAGACATGTAAAGCAAGTTTTTACTGCTATGTAGTTATTTGTGAAACTTTTGTAAATAAACCTTCTCAGCTGTAGCTTAAATCAGTATATTCTTTGAAATTGTTATGAAAGTGATTTCGACAAAGAATGATAACCCAGGTCAACAAATCCGATGCTGGATCCGACTGGAAAAATTCCGTCGGTTATTGCAAATTTTATAAGCGATCTTTCTAGCTATATTCTATGATAACCCTTAGAAAATCTGGAAAATTCATGTTTCAGATTCGATGATCCGATATGGGATCCGATCGAATCCGAGTACGGGATTGATTGACCTGGGAAGTCACAGACAAAAACAATGCATTCAAATTATTTCCAATGATCTCACTAACAGAGAGGGTAATTCAATATGACTGTTCAGTCGAGAGCCAAGCGAGTCTGCCTCGAAGTGCGTTACTTGTTTTCAATAAATCGTTTTAAAATACACACTAAACTTGTTTTTACATCGTCTTTTCTTAGTTCAAAGAAAATTTTATTGTTATGTCGCAGTTTACGAAATACACGACGAATCAGATTGCTAAAAATTCGAGATTTCGATTAAATTTGTATATTACGAGAAACTAAAGCGACTTCAAGTAACATAAAGTAGTTCCAGATTGGTCTAAGTAGTTTCAAGTGCCTCCAAGCGATTTCAAGTGGCTGAAAGTACCTTCAAGTGCCATACAAGTAACCAAAAGTTCGCTTAACTCTTTACGGCCGGATGGTACCTAATCAGGCATGCCAAATCTCCTGATTTCAGGAGCTGATTTCGATGATTTTCTACTGATTCTACTGATTTTGATTTTTTCCGGTGAATAACCAGTGACATCTTCTGTTGATAAAAATGTTGAATTGAAGACTGTAGCCAATAACAGATTTTTTTTTCGTTTTCGTCTTTCATGACTCCTCAGTTAAAACCAGAAAAATCTATACAAACATTTATTCCAATTCAAATAGTAAATATATTCGTTGTTTTCTCAATGTCGTTTTCATGTTCAAGCGAAATTATTGAAATAGATGATGAATTGTCATCATCAACGATTTCAAGTCCAATAGTTGTCAAGAAATCATCATCTAATTCAAACAAACGTTATTCATCGAAATTTAAAAAGGAATGGTTATCCATTCCTCTTTTTTCGTCGTTTTTTACGGAAGTGTAAAGATGATTCAACAAAAGCCTTATGTATCGTTTGCAACGGGAAGTTTTCTATTCAAAACAGCGGATTAGGTGATATTCATCGTCATACTGAAACAAATAAACACAAACAAAGTACAAAAGCTGCTGAAGCTAATCGAAGTGAGACTTTTCCTTTCGAACTATCCAACTGAATTTTGTAAAAATTCTAGCAAAATCACTTGATGCAACATTTGGTATAACAACAACAGAATTTAATCGTTTGACTGCTGTTGAAGGAGCTATGGTCTTTCATTCGGTTAAACATTCTCACAGCTACATTTATCAAGGTTGCACAATGGATATGATCAAACATTGTTTTTCTGATTCTCACGTTGGAAAGAACATTAGTTGCAGCAGGACAAAAGTAATATTAATATCTTTTAAAACTAATTTGCAACCATAATGAATAACATTCATCTTTTAGGCTCGTGAGATAGCCTGTAACGTACTTGCCCCATCATTAACAGATGAAATTGTTCGTGAACTACAAGATGTTTCTTCTTTTTCCATTTGCTATGATGCTTCGAACAAGGGAAATGCCAAGATGCTTCCAATTGCTGTACAGTTCTTCTCGAGATTTGGCATTCGACGTGGTATACTGGATTTTATTGAACAAAGTGAGGAATCAGCCGATGCTGTATTGAAAAATATTAAATATGTATTAGAAGCACACAGGCTTACCAAATGAAAATTTTTGAAATCAGGGATTTTTGAGAAAGAATCAGGAGAAATTTTCTGCTAAATCAGTAGAAAAATCAGGAAGTTTTTTTTTAATATTCAAGAGTGTTTATGCAATTTTTACGATACTGCTTACATTCTGAAGACTCGCTCAAGTTTTTCTAATAGAATCCATGTTCTATACTGTAAAAACGCGAAAAATTGGTTTTGATGTGCTAACAAATGAGAAGATAGTTTATGAGTTTGCAACGTATGACAAACTCTTTTATAGCCGTATTTAATGAGGCCATAAACCTTTTTTTCGTTTCTGTGATATTTCACTTCATAAATGCGAAAAAAGAGTTAATCATATGTTGCAAATTCGTATACCTTTATTTTCTACAATGTAACCTGTTACTGAACTTTTTATTCATCCAGTTTGCAAAACGTTGACCTCATATTCGAGCTCAACGATCCCTACTATCCGTTGTTAAACCCCTACCAAAAATTGTTGTTTTTTGTAGAAGGAAATATGTTTCTTCGTCCTAAACAATAGGAACCGTTTTTTTTAAACTATTGTCCAATTCAGATTTCTCATTCTTGATTCTATTTTAGTCAAGTATTAGGTTAAACGATCTCATTTATTCTAACACATCTTCCGATCAATCAGTGAAATGCAACTAGATAAAGAAATAAATAGTTTATTCATTCAACACTCTTTTATATGAAAATCAGAATAATGTTTAACTTTCGGCCCAGTATATGCCTATAAGTTTACACACATATCCCCCTTTCATCACAAAGTAATCATACAAGAATTTCATATAACTAAAAAAACTAAAAGAAATGATCATTACATAAAATTTATTTCTATATTTATTTTATGGACAATTATTAGCAAATGAATATTTAACTTCTCGATTAATATAAAACAAAAACATAACGCAGAAACTATGTAATTAAGTAATTACTGATAAATTCGTGACTTCTTCACGATGGGACTACATTTCTCTAACGATCAGATTTCTCTGAGCACAGTCGATGTTGTGAAACATAAACATAAAACTCTGTAGATATCAAATGAATGTTCATTTATTTCGGAATTCTAGTTCAGCTAAATCGGGTTTCGTCTTGTTTCTGCTATTGTTATCAGAAAACGATATGTGGCTGAAAGGTGATTTACAAAAAACATTCCACACAGAAAAAATTAATAAAAACTTAGTCAATTTTGATAATTTTCTCGTTCTCTCCGTCGAATTTCGATAAACGAGAAGCGTCCAGTAAATCTCGACTATGTAAAAGCAAAAATCAGGAAAAATGAAGAAATCAGAAGAACTAATAAAAATCANCTCCTAATTTGATCAGCTTAATTTATTTATTCGATTTTAGAATCGACCAATGCGATATATCAATACTTATTTTGTATAATATCTTACATCCTTATTTTAATCATTTTACTATATTCCAATCAGGAACTGTATTTAAATTAACCCTTTGAGGACCGGAAACGCATATGTGTGTCTATAGTAATTTCCTCGGAAATAAGTAAATATAAATGGATTCAATATTCAATACCCTTCTGTATGCGTAAAATCATGTACAATGCAACAAATCTATGCTGTTCAACTGCGCTCTTTACGAAATAAATATACTGAGACCTAATTGAATAATTTAATTCTGTTATGATTGATATCTTATGATTTTCAGAAAAAAATGAATCATGGCAAGAATGTCCTTTAGGAAATGTCCTTTAGAAAATGTCCTCAAAATTTGGTCCTCGCAAAAAATGTCCTTTTAAATTTTGTCTTTTAGAAAACGTCCTTTGATAAAATGTCCTTGCAGAAAATGTCTTTTGAGAAATGGTCCGGTAGTTAAAGTTGTCCTTTGCGTTTGACAAAGAAAATTGCGAATGAAGCATCTCTTAGACATAGATGACGTTGTAGTTTAACGAAAATTCGTAGTATGCTAAGTCATTTAAATAGAGGATTTACTTACATGTACCGAAAATGAAAGAAAAGATGGCCATTGTACTCGTATTGATCGTATCGAAACATAATTTGTAAGTGATAAAAATCGAAAAATTTCAATATGAAACCGAGTGATTTTGTTTACAATTGATGATATGTTGTCATCTTCTTCATCCTCATTCTCGTCTAGTTTAATTTCTCAAATAAACTCTGGAATGACATCTCGTGAAAAGAAGACTCAATCGAAAATCGTCGAACGAAGAATTACACAATTATATATGTAGTCGCTTCAATTTAGAAAAGATTACATTCGAAGAATTATTACACCAGCTTTCTTTTTTTGTTACAAATGATAAATAAATCAAAACTTGACTCGTTATAATAGAAAATAGACTATTTACACTACCCATCGACTGTTTCTTTGTTTTATACCGAAAGGACATTTCAATAATGGAGGACATTTTTTAATAGGACCAAATGACAAAGGCCTATTTCTAAAGGGCATTTTTTAAGAGGCCATTTACAACACAAGACATTTCTTAAAAGGACCAAAACTTGAGGACATTTTCTAAAGGACATTTTCTAAGGGACATTCTTGACGGATACCTCTTTTATAATAAGATGAATTTCAGATGAAATCGTAGCAATCTTTAAAAGAAAAATTTATAGAGTTTTTCTAACACCAAGGAACAAACCACTAAAAGATAAAAAATCATTGTGATAGAAGAAGTCTGACTCGTTTCTACATCTATTTAACTACGTCTTGTTTTCTTTACTACTCCAAAGAAATAGATCGATGCTCAGAAAAATAGTTATTTCTCATATGAATCATTATTTCAATCGAAAGTTGATGCCATAGATGTTTGCATAAATAATTGAGTTTCTCAAAATTCATTATTGGATTACCCAAATGCAATTATTATGTTGATTTTAATTCTAATGCTTGACAATCCATTTTAACGCGTAAAGCTGTTTATCGCACGTCTTCTCGGGTCAGATCATACTTGAAATGAGGATGAATCGAAAATGAATAACACTTATCGTTTTATTGTCTTTTTTTTATAAGATAAATTCAATAAAGCTGATAACATTCTTTTGCTAAGTTTATCTTCGCCTATATGCATCGAATGCTACTCTATTTATCAGCTCTACATCTGCTGAACATCTCTCGTCCTTATCTCTGTCAAACAAAAACCCAAAATATTCAATAACCAAGACCGGCTGACGCCTGACAGCGTAAAGTATCCAACTATTGCCTTTTAGACCTAAAGTAGGAGCATTACACGAGAGTAAAAGCTAACCGATTTTAGATTTTCAGATCCAAAATAAATTCAATACACGTTAGCACAAAACTGATAGGTACTGTAGCCCATGTAAACATGAAACACACATGAGAAGCATCAGGTCGCGTTTAGCCGCGTATGTGTAAAAAATAAGTTCAGATGCAATCGTTTGTTGCGAAGTCAATGCATTTATTTCTCAAAGAATATTTGTAATCTGTCTCTAACTCATTCAAGATCTTTTTTTATTCTGGAAAACATTTAAATATGTAAAATCTTATGTAGTATTCACCATTGGTAGTCAACATCGCATGAATGAGATTAAGAATCTTTGCTGAGTGATTTCTCTGTCTTGAGCTTTTAGGAAAGAAACTATTTGATTCTTATTACACAGAACAGAAAATAATAAGACGGTCTACTTAAAACTATTAGGCTTATGTAAAAAGATACCAAAAATATTGAAATATGTCTTTCTGAAGGAACAAGACAATCATTTTCGTTAATATATCGAGTTTCTAAAATTAATGATCGACTAGATATCGATTTCAGCTAGAATAAATTTCAAGTAAGTATAGCTCAGTGGTGTATGTTCACGACTTCTGATCGATGGTTCACACATTCAAATCTGTTTGTCAGCATGTAAGTAAAAAATTTTAGCTCATTTGTCAAAGCAGGCTGAGACCATCCAAATTTAATGTTGATGGGAACTCTGTTCGAATCTGCGATGAATCGATGCATTTTTTGTGCAATTTTAAAACTGAAGCGAAACGCGTCGGAAAGCCAGGAATGTTTTGTCCATGCTGCGTCTCACTGTATTTTGACACAAAAAATGTTTACATAGGAATCTTAAGATGTCCATATAATGCGGTTAGATATTGATTATTTCGACAGTACGATGTATTCCTGTCGTGTAGTCTCAGCCCAGTTCATTGAAATACGTAAATAGCATATCTTTCGAAGCAGAGACGGGCACAGTTCGAGTTTTTTAAAATTAAAATAAACTAAATCGTGCCCATCTCTGTTTCAAAGTATGCGAGGAAAGTCATTACTTCTACACCGTGGTAGTAATTTAAAACAATCCAGAACTCAGAACTTTCGATAGAAATAATCCAATATTTGCACCGAAAGTATTTTCTAGAGTATACTGCAACTTCGAAGTGAAAAAAAGCGAATGGTTATCTGTAGATTTATCTATATACCATTTATGCTCGTTTGTGCAGAAAGGATCAGTTTGAAAAGATAAAAATTCAGTTTGTTTGTATATATCAAGATATAGCCTATGATTCTGCAGAAGTGTTCATAGCGCAGCGTAGTATCCTCAATAATGCTTATTCTCCTGGAGGTTTTTCATACCTTGATCGCACAGTAAGAACAACAATAATGATTTGATTGGTACAGCTCTTGCATATTCCTATCTGAAGTAGATTGAAATACGAAATGCGATCTACAGAAGAGTGCGCGTTGCTCATGAATACGCACTGTCTTTTTACGAGTAACATATTTACAAGAAATCCATCGATGCTTTCATTACAGGCTCAGCAAAATGTCATGTACTCGTTTTGAGGGTGCCCATATAAAACGAAGTTTTACTATGAAATAAACACTTGGTTAAAGCTCGAATCTTTTATCTTTCTTTGTTATCTCAACAGAGAGCAAGAGATATATAACATACTCTATGGGGAAAGAAAGAAAATGTCCATATCTTTGAGTTACTAAAAAAACCTTATTCTTTTGCAAACGCATAGAGTAGCACATGGGTTGCATTAAATGTTGCTGGTTGCTGTAAAAGTGAGGCTTGCTTTGAATTACGAGTTGATACCAGAAGAGTATAGAGCTTGACACGTTAACGACTCGGCCCTCACCCTCCCTCGGGAACGATTTTTCACTTAGAATGATCATTCGAGGGCGAAACTGTCGGAGATGACTACTCCCGGTGAGGTTCACTTCTAGTAAAAATCTCAGTCCAATCGTTTGCAGTTTACTAGATTTACAGTCCATGTAAGAGTCATTTTTGGCGTTCAAGAAAGCTGTTATAACTCAGTTGCGGTACAAACTATAGAGTTCGAGCTGATCTCAAATTGAAGCCCATCTCAAGACGCAACTTTCGATCTACCAGAATATAAAAATTCAGTATTATTAATTTTTCATAGCTATTTTATTGAATACATGCAAAATAAGGGTGGTTTGAAGACAGTATTTTCTACTTTTTTCAACCCAGGATTCAATTTTAAAAAGAGTGATCGATCAAAAGTTGCATATCGTCGAGATCTACAAAATGAAAAAATATTGGCTATAGCTTAAACGGGAAGAAAGTCATAACCATTTTCGTAACAAAAACCTAGGTTTCGGGGAAAACGATTAAAAAGCTTTAGAAGACGCCTTTTCACTGAAATCCGGCAGCAAACGAAAAGTTCGTTTATTTATCTATTTAGCTTTCCAAAAAGCTTAAATATGTAATTCCTGACCCTTTTCTGACTAAGCCTGTGGTAGGGTGTGGGTGCAGGTGGGTTGGCGTGTTTATTATATGCAGAGGGAACCCCTACGATCTGGATTTCGACCTTTGTTAAGGGCCCATTCATTAGGTAAGAGTTCAGTTCCGCATAAGAAACTTTTTTCAAAAGGAATTGGAAGAGATTTTGACCGAAATCAGAATTTTCCGAAACTTCCGAATGAATTAATTCCAAGGAAGCGGTAATTTCTTGTTTTCTCGACTGAAAAGAGGGTCATGTCGAAAAAAAGTGGTAAAAAGGTTGAAATGCGTTTGTATGTATGCTTGTCGCGCGTCAAAGGTCAAAGGTGAAAAGCACATTTTTTTCAAAACAGCTCAAAACTTCATTATGACGATTTCTGATGTTACTATAGAACCGTATATATATATAAGCTTTATTGAATAAGAGAAATCGCAGTATTACTGTATTTTCCTCGTCCTTATATAGCAGTCGGAGAAATACAGTCGCGCACTACATAAAAGTGTCTAAGAGTAGAATTAATGTATATACTCTGGGTGTCACACGATAGGAGCATAGGTCACATCAAAAACATCATCTTTAAGTTGACACAATCTAAATGACTAGATAATAACATGATGTTTGGATAGCGGAGTTATCTATGGATGACACTTGTCATTATCAACAGGAAGAAAGAGAAGCGAGATAGTTTTGGATAAGAGAGAAACCTAGAGAGAATGAAAGAAAGGGAAGTGTATAAGCCAAGGTCAAACGTCACTGCTATACACAAGTAATGCTCATTCTATGGATTCGCTGACCCTTTTCCGAAACAATCGCTCTACTGCTTAACATATTCAGATACATTGAAAGAAGGACAAGCGTCTTCCATCCAGTTATCGTCCGACTTGAACGCTTCGCAAGGAGCAAACTACGTCGGCCCGGAATAAGGCAGCACTCCGCTGTCATTTTCTTCGACATTAAAGCCGAATTCGATTCAGTCTGGCACGATGGACTTATATACAAGCTACATGATCTTCGCCTCCCGCAATACCTTACCAGGTACCTGATCTCTTTCCTTCACAATAGAACCGCTGCAATCGAAATAGACAATGATTTTTCTCGTCCGTTCCAGCTGCAGAGTGGTACACCGCAAGGGTCGCCGTTATCTCCACTTCTTTACATAATCTATACGGCAGACTCGATGAACGATATACCACCGCACACAGAGCATGGCCTCTTTGCTGACGACACTGCTCTATGGACAACATCGAACACGCTGACCAGTCTCACACAAAGACTACAGCAATCCATAGATGCATTTGAAAGTTGGTGTAAATCGTGGAAACTGAAATTACACCCAACGAAGACAGAAATGATCCACTTCAGACTTCACTCAAGAAAGAAATACAAGCATCCAGTAGAAGTCAAAGTCGAAAATACTATCATCAAACCTCTGGATGCAACCCGATACTTGGGTGTCATTATCGACAAACAACTGAAGTGGAGAAACCATCTCCAACATCTCGAAACGAAAATGGCTGGACGCATCAGTCTTCTACGATATTTAGCCAAATCAGTTCAGGAACCGAACCAAAAGACGATGATAAACATCTTCAAAGCGGTTGCAAGATCAGTGGTGACATATGGTTACCCGGTAGTATTAACAGCAAACGACAAAGTATGGGATCGGCTTCAAATCATCCAAAACAAAGCGCTTCGCGCTACTCTTGGCCTGCCGATCCATACCTCTATCGAATGTGTACATCGGATAACCAAAATACCAAAAATCAATGACTATGAAACATCACTGCTCCAACAATCCATAGCCACTGCTACATCCAACAAAGACCATACACGCCTACAACATCTGCAAAACATCGCCGATCAACTATGACAAAACACCAACACCAATGTTACAAGACAATCCAACCATCCTCCTGTCTCTCCTTGTGAAGACAGTAAACGACTACATGTGACGTACATATCCTCGTTCTCCGGCTTTACCAGTTCTGCTCTATACATTAACGACAATGTGAAACAACACTCTTCTCTTCACTATTAATGTTAGCGTCGATAACATAGATTACTGTTAAGTCAGCCGAATCTGTACAAAACTTGTTATATCGGAATCACGTACAAAACGGTTGATCGAGAACGAAGAAACGACGATTATCGACGTATACGTCGGCCCGTTCCTGCACTTATACATCGAAGTTCCATCGAAGAAAACCACCACTACGCTACCATGCAACTTCACACGGTCGAACCTAACTTCCATCACCCTCTTTATACGTTTAAATTTTTGTTCTTCTTTTCTCCACGAGACATAAGTCATGCGTCTCCTTTTCTTCTCTACCAGCTTTATGACCAGTTTGTCAGTTGTCTCTCTTCTTCTCTTTCCGTTCTTCTTTTCATTCTTGTAAACTGGTAGTTTATCATCGAATAAAGCGTTGGCTCCAAAAAAAAGATACATTGAAAAACAAATACGGCATTGTGATTATTAGGCATGCACCCAGTTCAAGTCCGACTGGGTATTGGCTACCTATAGTAACTTCCACTATAATGCATATATCTTCTCACCCTTTTACCGAACACTAAAGAAATGAAATAAAACATGCATATTTAACAGGATTGCGAATAGTACACTCCAGAGATGGGCAAGTCAGCGGTTTTCCGCTTCAAGTCAAGTCAAAATCTAAATCATTTAATCATCAAGATTTTTATTTCGAATCATGAATGATATGACACTTTCATTAAATGGCAAACAAAAACTAGTATTCGACGTAGTTTCACAACAAGTAAAAAAGGAACTCAAACAAAAAAATAATGCAGATTGATTTCATACCACACCATAGAAAAGAAATGTACTGCAAATAATGAATTTCAGTTCATAAAAGAAACAAAACATTGCGGACAAATATATCACAAATGAATTGATACCATGATAATAACCAACACAAAACGTACTGAGCAACAGCTATATATTTAGATTAACTTAATCTAATCAAATTTCACAATTGCATTTCAATAAAGTAAGTTGTTGAAGTGTCGTTCGTGTCATTCGAGCACGATGAGGTCGGCAAAGAAAACCACTCTGAGAAAAGACACGTTCGACCGGTGCCGTTGTTTGCCGGTATACATAGATACTTTGTAGCGAATTTAGTTAATGCATTATATGATTTAGATCATGTTGATTTCAAGAGAAGTATATTGTCATTATTAGTATCATTAAGATAACGTGAGATTTCTTCTTTAATATAATTATATGAATCATTTGTTTTTGTCTTCTTTGAATATTTCTGATCGTTCTGAATATTTGAAAAAAGACATTTTCTTTTACTTGTATTTGAATTTGACGATTGAGTGCTTGGAGTTGATATTTGAGTACTTTTTATTTGTTCTTCCTGAACCAATTCGATCTTCGCTGGAGCAGAATTTTCATTAGCATGTTCATTAAAAACACTATGATCAAATATTAATTTTTTGATTTTTTCACATATTCGTTCTTTAACTGTATCAGGAAGAAAAGACGCAGTAATCCAATTGAGTTTGAACATGGCATCAAGAAATGGCGAAAGAATGAAGACAGGATCTTTATATAAATCATAAAATTGTTTATTCTTTTTTAATTCGATCCCTGTTTCCTTAACATTAACTTCGAGTTGTTCCAAAAGACCACCAAATAGTGATAATAAGGAAGAAATTAAAGCATTACATAATGTTGTTGTGTATTGAATGTTACTTTTTTCAGTTTTTAAATCGAAATAAATAGCAAGAATACTTGGAGCAACGAGAGAAATAGACGGTGAATTTTCACGTTGAGTTGTTGTTGTTGCTTCAGCAAGTAACGATAATAAAGCAATAAACTCATTTAACATAGATAAATCCCGCACATTTAAACATAAATTTGGATATTTCAAGTCGATCAAAATTCGATTTAATTCAAGAGTGGGTATAGCTAAAACACGTTCAACAGTTAGGAATTGAGAATTCCAACGTGTTTTAACAACACGAGGCATTGACAGCTTCATTGAATCTAATATCTCTGAAAATTTTGTATTTTTATGTGAAAGTTTTGCAATTGCCGACACCTTTTCTAATGAGGATAATATTGGCTGTGCTTCTTTTAATCCATCTTTAACAATAAGTTGAATTGTGTGTGCAAAACAAGGAATACGAAAAACTTCATTGTTGTCTAATAGACAACGAAATGATTCTTTAATAAGTACTTCTTGTGTTAATTCAGGAGTTTCAGTATCATTTGTCGTTGTTGTTGTTGAGCAAGTGTTTGGTGAATATTCATATTCGTCACTAAGAGTTCCATCATTTAAATTCATATCACTACCTTCATCATCTGTATCATCGTCACTAAAGTACTGTTCAAAGCCTGGAATAACAAGATCTTTAAAAGCATTTATGTTATTTGATCCATTATCAGTAACCAATCGGATAATCTTATCTTTGATATCAAATGTATTGATAATTTCTTCATATTTTTAAAGTAGTAATGAGCCGCAATGGCTACCCCACAATGGCACAAAACCTAAAACGTAGGATTTGGAACTACCATCGACACAGCGTGTCCTAAAAACGACCGAAAACAAAATATAAGTTAGTTTTTGTTAAAAAGATCATACCAGTTACAGCAAAAAAAGATCTTAACCGCCTATCACTCCAAACATCGACAGTCAAAGATAAAAATGCAGCTATTGAACAAACAACTTTCAATTGATCCATCATTTTTTCGTATAATGAAGGAATTACAGTGAAACCTCCGTAAGATGAACACCTACGGGACTATATGAAAAGCGTTCATTATGGGAGGTGTTCATTATATAGAGGTTTTGAGTCGATTGGCAGGATACAAATGTAGAATTCACAGTGAACACGACTGAATGGTATCTATGAGTTGTTTGCATTACATTTCATCTAGTAAACGCGAAGTCAGTCAGGTAGTGCTTCTTGATCACTAAATCCAGTTAATTGTTGAGAAACTAGTTGTTTGGCATCATCTCGTTAGCCTTGTTCAGTTCGATGGAACATGAACGAGTTTTAAAAGTAGACAAGAGATAAAATCATAGTATTGTCATTGATCATTATTAATAGAAAGATTAGGTTATTAAGCTACTGTAAATATCTCGTTGACGCTTCAGGAGTGTCAGTCTGCTCTCCCATCCTCAACCTTGTTTCTACAGTCGATTTACTGCCTACCCTAATTAGGATCGACAAGAAATTATTTAAAATGTGCGAAATATTCTCATCGCCTATTTTGTTTTCTGTTCAAGGCCGCCTGCTATATATAAAAAAGTCGTCAAAAGACTCGACAATACAGTTTTAAAATATTTTCAACTTGTTTTCCCCCTAAAAAAACTGTATTTTACTGCAAATTTGTTCATTTTTGAGAGGTTTTCTTTGTGAAAGGGGCCAAAAAAAGCGTTCATTGTTCAGAGTTGGGAGGTGTTCATTATGTAGAGGTGCAATCACAGCAAAAATCACTCGGGGGGACCGATGAACGTGTTCAAACGAGAGGTGTTCATTATAGAGAGGTGTTCATTAAGGGAGGTTTCACTGTACTGTTCGACTCAAAGTCCCACGACTTGTCACGGTAAATTTGGAATCCACTGTTTTCATGAAATCAATAAAAGCTGATCGTTCTACGATCGATAAAGGTAAACCTAATTTAATAATTAAATTATTCACGATGGCCATTGATAATTCCATTTGTCGTGGGTGATTGTTATTATATGTTGAGCATTGTGTTGTACTTGTTTTTTGAAAATGTTTCGTAATTTTATTTGTTTGTTCTTTTGATGATGCACCTTTCAATTTGTTTAATTCATGTAACCACATGTCAAAAGCTTGTTTATGATGTTCTCGAACATGCCGAGTAAAATTGGAAGTAACACCTATGTTATCAAATACTCTTTCTGCTGGTTCACACAATAAGCACTGAGCTGACCATTTCTTTAAAGAATTTATCACGAGCAGTTCTAGGTACAAGTGATGATGAAGTCAAAGATATTTCTTCTTGTTTCATAGTAAAAATGAATTGTATTTCGTTAAATTGATACTGATTTTAATTATTGAAAAAGAACAAAGAAAGCAACCATTAAAAAGACATCAGTAGAACAAAGTGACCAATGGATATAAAAGAATTTCAATATTTCTGAAATATTTTATTTTTATTTCAAGCAGAGTTTATTTTATGACAATAACCTTTGTTCCTGATTATATTTTTGTACTACGTTTCAAATTCAAAATTAAAATAGAAGTGTATAAAAATGTTATATGCTATACGTTTTCGGACTTGACTTGACTTGATATTTATGGTCAAGTCACAAGTCAAGTCAAGTCAAAAATGACTTGACTTGCCCATCTCTGATCCTTATGGCATGTCAGTTACGTCAAATAATGAAATCAGTTTGATTGAACACGAAATTAAACAGAAACTTCGTCATCAATCATCAGCAACAACACCGAATTCGAGTAGTACTTCAAATACCGGCAGTGGTTCATTCACAAAAGAAAAAAAGTTAAAATAGTTTTTGGACAATTATCTTGTAATTACGTTGGATGGCGAAGACGCCAAGGATAATCAAAAACAATCTACAACCATAACAAAAGTATTAAATGAAGAATTTAAAACGTATAAAAAATTAGCTGCTTAATTTGTATCAATGCCAATTGATCAATACGATCCGCTTTTCTTTTGGAAACAGCACTGTTTTGTATTACTAAATTCAGCAACATTAGCTCAAAGGTATTTTGCTTCTCCTAGCACTAGTGTTCAATCTGAATCAGCGTTTAATATTTCTGCGTACTACAGACGTAAGCAGCATGCCCGTATTTCTTCGGATAATCTTAGTTATTCTGTAGTTCGCAAGGATCAACCATCGAATGAAGGTAAATAAATACGTTGAAAATTAGTTCATGTGTAGGAAAATTTGCTTGTTTTTTGTATTTTTGAACAATATTGTATAGCGGAACTTTCTACAAAAATATTCTTATACTGTCTAATGAATAGCCAATGATTTGATATTTTAGTATAAAGCTCTAAACCCGAAGCATCTAGCTCCGAACTCGAACATTCGGGTTCGGTGCATACCTAATCTTACTCAATAATTTGTCTTACCTTTTCTCGCCTCCTCTCTTTTTATCCAAATTGAATTCTTATCAGTAACAATCCAACCAATTTACCAACTTGATCACTTTTCTTATGACTTTTCCAGCTCTCACCAATCGCACGAATTTTATCAATTTACGAATCGAAGTCTTATCGTGAACAAAACAGTAATCTGATAGTTAGTGATCAACCAATCAGAATCTTATTCGAATTGTTAAACAGAATAGAATACAAAAAAGATAGTAAAAATAAAAGCTCTCGAATAATTAACTCAATCAAAAGAAAGAGAAAACCATTAAATAACCTACAAAGCTTTACCAAGTTTTGAGGATTTTCGAAAAAAGTGTTTTTTTTAACCTATAACCCTCACCGTGGCCATCCTTTCAATCGAGGGAATAAGGACAGATATTGAATAAGCGATTCATAGAGCTTTTCGTAAATGAAATAAAGAGAACATTGAAAGTATGCATGTACATGTTGTCACTTAGATCCTCACGCATCTGTTCCATTCTAAAGAATGTTCATGTTTAAAAGTTTTTAAAAATCAAAATTTTGAATAATTTTGACGTGCAAAACGTTAAAGATCTCTGTTAATGTGTTATTTATACCACATCACCTCTTTTTCTCTTTTTTAATTGAAAAAACAAACTTGTATTCCAATTCTAGTTATATAAATAGAAAAATATTAGAAATGAAATAACTCGTTAAACATAATTACTGATAATGACATAGAACAATTATACCATTTAGTGTTTTTTTTCCTATTACGGAGAAATCAATTAGAATAGCAGAAGTATTTCTGCATAACTTAAAATATGCAAAAAAAACATGATGTTCTACTTCTTCTATAACTTATCTTTAATACCTTATTTCTTTCTTATGTTTGTGAATGAGAATTGATGCAAAACAGCATCTCGAGAAATATTATGGAGTTATTGGACAATGAGCTTAAGAATCTTTTTTCTCTAATTTTTAAGCAAAAATTTGAAGTAAAAAGTGTTTATATTGCAAAGTAAATAGTTATTATTTTTCAGTGAAGTGTTTAGGATAGTTTTTATCAATATGTCAATCCTGATTTGTAGCGATCTTTAATCTGTTGTGCTGTTTACTATATCTATGACAATATCTCTTCTGATGTGTGATAAAGAAAAAAACACTATATTCAACCTTCTTTCTTTAAATCGTGTTTTACAAAAAAACGAGCAAAAAAACACAAAATAATATTTATTAATGAATGAAGAGAAATTGGGAGGATGTGATCCGCCTACAGTTTGCTTTTCTTTTTTATTTTTATTAAAAATAGTTTATTTCTCTCTGTCTCTTATAAAAACAAGCCATTTATTTTATGTTTGATACTCATTTAATATGAAACACAGAATTATGTTGTTTATATTGTTAATCATTATTATCGCACAATCAAATTCACAAAATACTAATACATTGTTATTGTCCCAAATAAATGGTATTCGATATCAATGCCTCATTTCAAATTGTTCGTCGCCCATGGTCATCTTCGGAATAAACTGGAAAGCTTGTCAAATTGCTTGCTTAAAACACAATAATTGTCGTACAATAACATTTGATCAAGTCAATAATCAATGTGAACTATTTGTGGACATTCCTAGTCAATATGGTAGCTTGATAGTAGATGCCGATTTTGTGACTTTTGTTTCTGCTGATGATAGACAACTATCAGGTCGTAAGTAGTGACTTAGCCAGAGTTAGATGAGGGTCTGATATATCAAATTTGGACATGAGTAATAAGGAAAATATTCACACACGAGATGTTTAAGTTAAAAATGGGCTTTTACAAGAAAAAAAGTGAATTTAAGTGTAGGCAAAGCGGTATGTTGCCTAAATTGTTCATATTTCATATGTACAACGGAACATGTCACACTAATAGATGCAAAACTTTCGTAGATATTCCTTTCTACACTTCTTGTTATTTGCTAATATGTGCGGCATGCAATAGTGAAGGTTTCTCGAACTACATCGAATACGATTGCTAGTACTATATATAAGTATTTCAATTTCTTTATTCTTTTCTTCTAGCTATGGCGACGATTATAACAACATCCATGTAAGTTTGAATGATAGTTCATACAACTATAAAAATAGTGGTGTAATCAAGTTCTGGCTTGACTGGACATCACCGCCTTGATATAGTATCTTGTCTCTGAAGAGTATTTATGTAAATCATATATTTCAAATGTTTTCTGTGAGTTCTATAATTGAAGTCGAAGCATTTTTCTTTTGTTATTGCATATTCACATTTTGACACACATGTAATTCTCGAAAGCTGAATTCAACTGTTCAACTAATTTAGCTCTGTAAGGTCTTAATGAGAGTAATTGGAAGAATAGCTATGTACATTGATACTACTGAGAGCAATCAAAATAAGAGTGGTTTGGGGATGCGTAGGATAGTGATAAGGCATTAGTAATGTAAAGATACTGTGTTGAAATGTATACTTGAACAGTTGAGTTTAAATTTCGACTATTATACATATAACACCTTTCCTATGGGAAAATCAATTTACTTGTATATACCTGATTTGTTCACTGATAGAGATTTGCTCAGTAATAGTTATTCCAGGATCAGTCTCAGTATGTCAAAAACATGACAGAACATTTATATATTACACTCCAATACGTGCGAATCATTTTTGTTTCCAAATGTTATTGTTTATACATCTACGTAGAGCAACTATAACTGCACCAATCACCATAACAACCTTACCATCAATCTCTTCACTGATATCAACACCTATAAAAACTTCAACTGCCACTACAACAACAACTGCGACTACGACTACAAAAACTACAACAAGTACTTCATCAACATCATCATCATCATCGACGTCAACAACAACAACTACTACAGTTGGTAAATAAGTAGATGAGATAATTTGTAGTACTTTTTGTCAGTGTCTAACCAATTCTTCGGTTGGATTTCAGAGAAACAAAATGATTGCAAAGTAATTAGAAGATATGTACATTTCTTAGAAAGTGTTGCTATTTTAATCTAACTATGATAACTGTACAATCTGATGCGTATTCGCAAGTAAGAATATGGATGTTTTGATATATTGCAGTCGTTCTCAAATATATGAGAAATTCACTATTTACTGATCTGTTTTTAAACATTAGCATGATTATAGTTAACAATGCTCACAAAACCTTTACTTCAATAATATCTTCATCCACACTAACACCCTCAAGAAATCATGTTTTCTCACTACGTTTTCTTATTATAGGATGGATAACCACAGGAAATTTGGCTGTTGCGCGGTATCATCATGTATCAGTCACATTATTAAATGGAAACGTATTGGTTGCTGGTGGATACAATGGTGCTTATCTCACGAGTACTGAACTGTATAATCCATCTACAGGTATTTGGACAACGACAGGAAATATGAATTCTGGACGATATTGGCATACAGCATTGTTATTATTAAATGGAACAGTATTAATTATTGGTGGATATAATGGTAGTTATTTAAAAAGTACCGAATTGTATAATCCATTGGCAGGTATCTGGACAATAGCAGCAAATATGAATGTTGCACGATACTGTCATACCACAACCGAATTATTAAATGGAAAAATATTAGTTACTGGTGGATATAATGGTGCGACTATCGGCAGTGCAGAATTATATAATCCATTAACAAATACTTGGACAATGACAGGAAGCATGAATATTGCACGAAGCTGTCATACAGCATCGATACTATTAAATGGTACAGTATTAGTTGCTGGTGGATATAATAGTGGTGCTCTCGTTAGTGCAGAATTGTATAATCCATCTACAGGTACTTGGACAGTGACTGGAAGCTTAAATGTTGGACGACAAATTCATACAGCATCTGTTTTATCAAATGGAACAGTATTGGTTAGTGCTGGATGGGATTCTAGTGTTTGTTTCAAGAGTGCTGAATTATATGATCCATCAAAAGGTACTTGGACAATGACAGGAAGTCTTAGTGCAACACGAGAAGTTCATGCAGCATCTGTATTATCAAATGGGAAAGTATTACTCACTGGTGGATGGAATGGCATTTATCTCAATGGTGCTGAATTGTATGATCTATCAACAGGTATTTGGACACAGACAAAAAATTTTACTGTTGCACGATCAGCACACACAATATCGATGTTATCAAATGGGCAAATATTACTAATCGGTGGACAAGGCATTGGTGATATTTATCTCAACAGTGTTGAATTGTATTATTAAATACTAACAGAAATATCAAATTATTATTAATAAAATAAAATACAACTGATATTTATCTTTAAAAAAAGTTTGATCGACTGTTTCATTATCATTGACAAATAAATTGTCATTAATGATAAAATTTTCCATGTTACATGTGTTGTTTATTCGATGATCATCATCAATACTTGAAGAAGATGAAATCGCATAATTTCACTTGTTGAGTAAGGAGGTAAATCAGCAGTAAAGACATTTGTGTGACCCTAAGATAGATAAAAACTCGGTATTGCAATTAATAAACTATCATATATACTTGAAAGTGTTCTATCGAGTTGTTCATCTTCGGAAATGTCGAGTTTAATAATGGCGAATTTCGATTGAAAATTTTCATCTCGAATTAGTGAAGTAGTTCTTCCTCGAAAAAATATTAAAAATAATTTTTTTGATCATCATTAAATAATTCTGAAAGAACTTTCCAAAATAATTGGATTGCTTGTGAATCCAGTCCATATTCACTAGTATAATAAGTATTTCGTTTCAAAAGTTCAACATCTATTCGATCTTTTCCTCATACTAATTCTTCGAGTTCATTAGCAGTAAATAAACTTAATCAATCAAATGATCCAATACTATATAATCCTTCTCGAATAAGATTTACCTGTTGATCATATTCATGTAAACGAAAATTGATATAAATTGATATAACGATAGTCGATGACTTGTTTTTTTTTATATAAAATTAATATAAATTAATAATCAAAACAGAGCTTTCGGGATGAACTGGATCCCATCATCAGTGTTGATGTTGATTGAGCAATTGTATGAATCGATTTTGCAAATTTTAGTTAAAAATTCATTCATAGTTTAACAGGTGAAACTCGTTATGATATTGATTATCTCATTTGTTATAATTTTCAATGAAAAATCGATTCATACAATTGCTCAATCAACATCAACACTGATGATGGGATCCAGTTCATCGCGAGAGCTCTGTTTTGATTATTAATTTATATTAATTTTATATAAAAAAAAACAAGTCATCGACTATCGTTATATCNAATAAATAGTGGAAGAGAAAAAGTTGTACCGTTTCATCGTACGTGAAGTTGCTAGATCGATTCGCCTCATTAATAGCACACGCAGACAGTATATATGTCTTCCACAGTCGAGGGTGAAGTGAGTCGGCACGACGAGCGCTACTTGTAGTCCAACAGGTGATATTCGTTATGATGTCGATTATCTCATTTGTTATCATTTTCAATGAAAAATCGAATCACATATTTGCTCAATCAACATCAACACTGATGATGGGATCTAGTTCATCCCGAAAGCTCTGTTTTTGATTATTAATTCATATTAATTTCATATAAAAACAAGTCATCGACTATCGTTATATCAATTTTCGTTTTGATTATACAAAAATTCCTGTTTTTCATCAATTTTTCAAATTTTAGTTCATGTAAACGGTATTGTCGATAGCGTGAACAATAATGATTAAAATTATACATTGTTACACAAATTTCCTTACCGCCAGGCATAAATTCATACACACGTCTAGATGAACTACGTAGGTAAAGTTAGCACCATATTCGAGTATTTATTGTTTGGATTCGCTCGAGAATCTGTACTGGGCTTAAACCTGGTTTTGCTGAGCTCAGAATTTAGTTCTCTGTCGAATGATGTAGTTTTCGATGTGGACCACTGAGAAAAAATTCTCAAACTCTCACCCACACTCGTATATACGATAGAGCCACTCATACTATATAGGGTGAATCCATGGGAAACGTACCACTTTGTGCACGACTTTCTCTGAATTTGCTCAAACTCTCAGGGTTTGTAGAGCTCGATGCGCTGATTATTTTGGTATAAAAATACCCTGGGTTTGTGTATGTTTTGACTCTGAACGGCCCCAAATACAGTTTGACGAAAATAGCGAAAATCAGGAAAATTTGGGTGGTCCTTGACAGTGGTTTTCATTTTTTATCTCTATAGAAAATCGAACCCCCAACTATTTATATATATTCTGATAGCCCGTCTCCCGCTCTATCAAGCCATATGTAAACCAAATAGGTCGGTTTAATTAAATGAGGCGATGAAGGAGCAAACCTTCATGAACTTGACTCCTCTATTGCTCAGCTCTGCCTAATTTGGGTGGACTGGGGTATAGTGGGTTTTGTAGAGCGTCTCTTGCTCTATCTCGTGGCGTATAAGACTCCTCGCCCGGTTTCGACTTTCAATCTTTAGACAGCCGGAGAACGTGCGTGATCATTTTAGCCCTGATTCCGAATTTAGGTATGGGTAGGTGTAGGCGCAGATGAATTGCAAAATTCAAACCCATGCTTCATATCAGTCACCCTCACCGGTAATATTCAATGATCGCTGTAAACGTGGTACGTCTCCCATGGATTCACTCATACCAGAGGAAGAAGAATTTTGAGTAGAACATATGTCTTCTCATTGATCTTCACAAGATTTGAATGCAAAACTATTTCAAATATATTTGATGAAGCTCATACCTTTTATACAGATTTAATTGTACTTATTTCTTTTGACAAATAGGAAAAAAACATATCATTTGACTGCTACGAAAATAATTATATCGTCTCATTCTTCTTTACACCAATGAAATCAATCTTCTAACAAATATACTTTTTATTCTTTGACACATCGGATATCTATTTCAATGTCAAGAATTTAAACGATGAATTAAGGAGTGTATTTTGAGTGCAGAAATTGTCATTAAATGACATGTGTTAGAAAATATTTTCTTAAGTGAATATTTTATATGTTCGAAGATTTGTATAAGGATAAGGATGTGAGGTAACAGAAAACTTATATCCGCACCCTCAACCTCACCCAAGGTTTCACTTTTTCGTTCTATTTTCGATCCGCTGGAGAACGGCTAAGCCGAACCTTGTCGACCGAAATTCCTTCTTGTAGATTGTCGATGGGAGCACATTGAGAATAAAGCCGAGCAGTTGGGGCAAATACGAGAGTAGATAGGCGCTAAGTAGAATATGACGTTGCCAATCGCGCAAAGGCGTACATGCGAAACTGAACGTGAGAATCGTTTGAGGCATGGCCGAAAGAATAATGATGGTCGGTGTGACATAGTGTTCTTTTTGCGTATCAAATTGCTTCTTCAACACTTGTCTGAACGTTTCATTCTGACCAGCCGTTTTTACACGGCTGTGCGACGCGAGAACAATCAAGCACGTAATGCAGACAACTTGAATGGCAAATGGCAAAAGATAGTGAAGTACAGTAGATAGTCGATTATAAGTGGCAACCAGATGAGTGTGGAAATTTGTTACACAAACTGGTGAAGCAGTAGAGCGATGATGAACAACTGTATAGTAGATTATNCCAACCTCTAGCGAAGAAAATCATATGGATATTGGTCCATTTAGTTCGTGTTGCCGTTTTCCCGTCGGCCAATCAACTTCGACTGGGAAGCACTCATTGACGAACACGATGCATCGTTGATTATACGTTTGGCTATAAACGATCTACGCGTGGATTATACTCCACCTCGTCCGAATAAGAAGTTCATTTGTATCGTTGACGAAACGTAAGTGTTATTCACATATTTGTCTCAGACATAACCAGCCTTGTGGTACAGCTAAGCTCAATCCTACTCTCTTTCTTCATAGATGCGACAGTATCGACGAACTCGTGGCCCGCATGAAAACTGGAAGAGCAAGCTCCACTTAGTGTCATTCAAATAGGAGAAATAAATCGAACTTGTCTTTCTTTTTGGCAAATACTGTAAAAGCATGGTTCACATGTATCGACCATCAAACTTGAATAGTCTGTGAGAAAGCGAACTCGTAATAACTTTGATTAGCTATTTCATGAGAAAATGTGTACAGATCCATCGACATCAATATTCAAGCTCGTCGTGCGACAGATTATATTTATTTATGGTGAGTATCATATCAGGTAAAGACAACGCTAACATGGACTGCAAAAACAGTCGACCGGCGTTCATCCGTGGTGGGACTTACACTAAAATAGCAGTTGTCTAAGGATCCTTATCCTCGCAAACGTCGTAAGATGATTTGCACGAAACATAATATGCGAATGACACCTATTATCCTTCAGTCAAAGCCAGCAAGCCTCAGTTAGATATCTCAATAAAAGAGTCCGATGAACAACCGGTCGTGGCAGTTCTCGAAACTTGACACTAAAGTGTTTGAAAGGCAGATAATGAACATAACTGAATAGTATCAATAACAAAAAGCCATCTGATGAGACCTGTGAGCAAGGTTGGAACCGGAAATAGACAAACGGCAGATAGCAGCCATGGGCAACATTCAAACACAACTGAAAGTGAGAAGGGTCCTACTGCGATAAAACAAGAATCGAAGTCAAACAAAGCCTTCAACCAACATGTTCACATCGGTTATCGGAAGATGTGGGTTCGAGTCCTACTTTGATTTCATGATCTTTTTAAAGAGATATTTCGCATTTGTTAAAGCATATCAGTGTGGTTTTTTTTTTGAATAACTTGACATCGATACAGTCGTGGACGAATGGAAAGATTTCTAATTATTGGTTCTTTTATACCTATTTTCAAATTCACACATCCACACCCACCCCTCGCCCTCACACCCTCACCCTCGAGGACAACATCATGAAGGTGCATCGACGAGAGTAAAACGAACTTTTGTCATTGATGAAGATATACAATGCGAAGAAGCATAGGACACTCAGTCACATTCAAGAAGACCTGATTGAAGTGAAGTGAAGGGAGTTAGTTGTAAAATCCATCGATGTAGGATAAGAGAATTATGGTCGACCTGAGGTATGTGGTTTTAATATGTTTATTTGAAACTTCGTTGTAGCATTCAATAGTATTTGAAAAGCGCTGCTTTTGAACTATTGCATACCCCCATATTTCACTGCAATTGAAATCTTCGACAATGAAAATTGTTTTAAACGGGGAAAAATTACATCAAGAAAAATATCAAGAGAAAATGAAACTTTTTGGTTTTGATCCTCATCCGTAAGATTGAATGTAAAGCTTATTAAAAGTATACATACCAATAGAGGTCTCAGTGCTCTATTCAGCTGCCTATTATAGATTGAAAAAAAGTGCAGAAATCATTTACAAAACTATTTCAACACCATAGTCCTTGAAAAGTTCCTCAAGTTTATAACAAACCTGAATGGTTAGCTTGATAAAGAAAAAGTATGATCTGATATTCTTTCTAGAAATTCAGCATTGAGTTATCGGCAGAGTAGATGATGCTCCAACACAATATATCAAAATAATAGGGATCTCACAAGGGGGAAAAAGCTGATTTAAATCACGTCAAAATCATAGATAAATCACTTTAAATCACATTAAATCATATGAAAAAATGAATTTTAGTGATTTAAACTGATTTAAATCATCTAAATATTAGAATTAAATCAGGTAAATCACAAAGTGCTTTTCCCCCCTTGGGATCTCATGTTCTCTCTGCATACAGTAAAAGAAGCAAAACGATCAAAATGAATGTTATCATGTTGTACAAATATTAGACGAGCTAGAAAGTTCATCATTTGCAAATCATTTTCTCTGTAAGTTAAATCCAAAATGTATAAACCTTGTTTTTTTTCTGGTTCCCGGGTTCGTATTGGAAGATTTCCAAACCATTGAGAAAGTGATAAATGCACATAACAAGATGATTATGCTATTTATTTTCATATATATTATTTCGATATCTGTACCTTAGAAAACGAAGAGATTCAATGTCGTTTACTTATTGGCTTAAACGCTTTTTCCCTATTGATAGAAAAGCACGCGGATTGTTCTTTTATTTTTCAAAGTACTTAAAAGCTTTTGTCAATACAAAAAAAAACATCCTCATTCTCAGAAGTTTACAATGCTTATCGCCACACCAATGAATGTGACGACAAATAAATTAGAAATGTTAATATCTAATTTGATAAATCCATTTTTCAATGCTTATGCACTGCCAAAAGGATGATCCCAATTGGTTACAGTAAAAAAGTCACTGTTATAACTGAGAGTGACCGAAGTGTTCGCAGCAAATAGAATCCTCCATAAACATTCGTATGTAGATAAGCTGAGTATTTAGTGAGACTATTACAATCGCCACCATCCACAGGAGAGTTAATCGCATACATGTTTGTTGAAATATTTGTTAATAACACATGTCTAGTTAGACAACAACAAGGTGTCATGTTACAAGCTGTTTCAGTAGTATAAACTACTTCAAGATTTGATACCAGAGGAAGAAGAATTTTGAGTAGAACATACGTCTGCTCATTGATCTTCACAAGATTTGAATGCAAAACTATTTCAAATATAATTGATGAAGCTCATACCTTTTATACAGATTTAATTCTACTTATTCCTTTTGACAAATAGGAAAAAACATATCGTTTGATTGCTACGAAAATAATTATATCGTCTCATTCTTCTTTACACCAATGAAATCAATCTTCTAGCAAATATACTTTTTATTCTTTGACACATCGGATATCTATTTCAATGTCGAGAATTTAAACAATGAATTAAGGAGTGTATTTTGAGTGCAGAAATTGTCATTAAATAGACATGTGTTAGAAAATATTTTCTTAAGTGAATATTTTATATGTTCGAAGATTTGTATAAGGACAGGGATGTGAGGTAACAAAAAACTTATATCCGCGCCCTCAACCTCACCCAAGGTTTCACTTTTTCATTGTATTTTCGATCCGCTGGAGAACGGCTAGGCCGAACCTTGTCGACCGAAATTCCTTCTTGTAGATTGTCGATGGGAGCACATTGAGAATAAAGCCGAGCAGTTGCGGCAAATACGAGAGTAGATAAGCGCTAAGTAGAATATGACGTTGCCAATAGCGCAAAGGCGTACATGCGAAACTGAACGTGAGAATCGTTTGAGGCATGGCCGAAAGAATGATGATGGTCGGTGTGACATAGTGTTCTTTTTGCGTACTAAATTGTTTCTTCAACACTTGTCTGAACGTTTCATTCTGACCAGCCGTTTTTACACGACTGTGCGACGCGAGAACAATCAAGCACGTAATGCAGACAACTTGAAAGGCAAATGGCAAAAGATAGTGAAGTACAGTAGATATTCGATTATAAGTGGCAACCAGATGAGTGTGGAAATTTGTTACGCAAACTGGTGAAGCAGTAGAGCGATGATGAACAACTGTATAGTAGACTATCTCATGTACATGCATAGCGGCGAGAATAATCAGCGTTAGCACACTGATACCGATAGCTTTGCGAGGACTTAATCGAGTTGATGACGTCGGAAAGAGGATCAACAGAAGACGGTCAATGGTAATCCACGTGGTGAGCCAGTAAGTCGATCGTGTCATCACGGAAAGACCGTAGGAAAACGTCTTACATGAGATGTGATCAATGATTTCAGCAGGCATTTGCATAAATTTGAAAAACAAGCAGAATAAGACGATCTTATTGAAGCAGCTGACAATTAGCAAGTAATTGCCAACGGCAAACTTTCGTGGCGTCGGTCGTTTGAATGTGACGAACGAACAGTAATTATTGAACAATCCGATGATGACAAGAAGACAGACAATAGAGGCATACATGATCTTCACTTTCCTTGAGCACTCGACCAGAAGCGAATCGAGAGTGATGCCAAATGCTTGCATGCTGAATTCACATCGAGGTCCTTGATGACATGAAGGACAAAGACAAATGACATCGTCAGCATCTTTCAAATTTCCTTGAAGACATTTTGCAGCTGACAAACATTTATCGCACTGATCTAGTTGAGTGTCGTACAAGAAACAGTCAACACGATAATGATCTCGCTGACAGATGCAAAGGAAGGCTTCATCATAAAAACACAACCGCTCGGTTTGGTTTCGGCAAATGTGATGGTAACGAAACAGAGGCGACGCACTTGGAGGGCAATCGTATGGCGACGAAGTGACATTAATTATCGTTTGCTTCGTTCGCAAATAGATGATGGCATATTGAGGGTGTGATACATCAGCATAGGTTTTGAGGATTCCAAGAAAGGGTGCAACGGTATCGGGATCGTAGTAAGTAATCGTTGATGGTAAGCCGTGAAAAACTGCCTGGTATCGAATAGTCAACGAATCAGTCAAAGCGAACAATTGAACAACAGCTGCTCGGACAGGCGTTGTCTTGGTGTGGTTAAAATGAACGCGAACGGAAGCCTTTTCGTGTTCGCATTGTTCTCCGTAGAACAAGCTTGAGCAACGGCATGCGTAAGGCTTTTCATCACTTCGATCATAAGTAGCAAGGCAAGTTCCGTTGTTCGCACATGGGCTCGAGTAACACCCGTCGTACTTTAAGTTGCAGCGCGGTCCGAAATGACCGAGCGGACAGATGCAGTGCTGCTTTCTTCCAACTTGCAGGTCGATAGGACGACAGAAGGCTTGTGTTAGACAATAACTGTCGCAGTGAGAGTCGTAAAGGTTACAGTTTGTTCCGTAGTAGCCGCGCTTGCATGAGCAATAATGCGAATGATTGTGATTGAGAACTGGCAGACATGTAGAGTTTCCATTACAATCATTCTGCGCACAGCGATCATGGGTGATATTTTTAAACAGCACCGGGAATCTCAGGCGAACAGCCAGACGAAATGACGGTAAATAATCAAAATAGATGGGGTAATGCCAGGAGCCCAGCTCGTGAATAGTCGCGTTCGCTCCGAGAGCGAAGACATCGAGCTGCACTGAATATGGATGATTATTGACGACATCCGTTCGATTGAAGTAACGCCATCGTTTATGGGCAAGCATTGACAAAGAGCGAGAATACAGAAGATAGAATCGATGTTTGATCACATTGCCGTTCTCAAATGTTGGCATCGCATGGAACTCATGGTAATCGATGAGTTGGCCGACGAACGTCAAATGAGCTTTGATTTTGAGAGTGACATTCGTCAATGACTTCGGCAGAGTTGTTCGATCGAGATGAGCAATTAGAGTGATTCGATCACTGAAGAATTGGCACCAACGACCATAGTAAGCTGGCGGACATAAGCAGTACGTTTCATTGATCCGGATGACCGCGATACCTCGATTGCATCGGTATGAATGCGATGTGACATGTTGATCTTTTCGAGCATCACTGATCAGTTTGAATAGTGTTCGTGAAGTGGAAGACGTCGTTTCTTCAGGTACAAACGGCATCCAGTCGATAACTTGCTTGATTGACCTTAAGCTTCTCTTTTTCGACTGGCGATACGCGTCTATGTTGATCGCAGAACTTTGCGGACACCAGTATTCATCCTCGCCGAAAGAACAATCGACTACTTTGTTGCATCTTGCGTTCTTCCTGCAGCGATTATCTTCAAAACAAATGAAATCATTGATATCGGAGCAGACGCCAACCTTGTCTCGATACTTTGCACAAACAATATCGGTGCAGTTGACTTTGCCATTACTGCAAACATCTCTATAGGTTCGATAGTCGTCTGCACATTGAAACTGGAAACCCCACGTCGTTTTGGCAAAGAAGTTCACCTTAAACGTGTTCTTCTCATCGTACTGATTGTAGCAATCTTCGATTCCATCGCCAATCTGCGTGAGATTGATGCACGGACGATGCGAGTGAATATCCAATGGATTGGCCGCGTGGGATCTAAGACAGCCGAGCTCGAAAGTAGTATTGCAAATATTTGAAAATGGCGGTTTTAAATAGAGAGCGTGACACTGTTGAATCAGAGAAGACAAATTCTGGAGTTGGAAATTGTGCACTGACTGGTTTCTCATCAAAACAATTGCCTCCTCATCGGATGCGTCGGGACAATCCCATTCGCCATCGCATACCCAGCGTAATGGAATACAGTGTCCCGTTCGACATTGGTATTCATTGTTGCGACATACCCAATGCAGGCACGAAGAGTTCATTTCGTCGACGTCTCCCTCCAAGTCCCAAAATGTGTCACAGTACCAGGCGAATGGGATGCGGCTTGTCGAGCTCGAAGGCGAGTAATCAGCCGTATCACTCTGGTTCTTCAAGTTTCCGATCGATGATTGTTGGATGTAGTCTTTCAGTTGGTGACAATTCGTCATGTGTCCTTTCACGCATTGCACTTGATCTTCAGAAGAGATACCAATGCCGTGCAGACTTTCATCGTAGCTGTTCGAACAGTCAATGACGTATGTGCGCAATCTTTCTATTGTGAGGCATTTGTGTTCCTTGTTGAAACATTGAAAACGTTGTCGTCCGACATTTCCCGTACAATAGCTCCTTTCGAGCACAACGGCTTCATCGTCACCCCCAAGACAATCATACGTACCATCACGGATTCGATACTGTGAGATACATTCCCCTACTCGTAGACATATGTTAGGATTAACAGCATACGGGCGGCCGTTGAATGTCAGCGAGTCGTTCCAGCAGAACTTATCGTTTTGAAGAGGCGATGAAAAATCTCGGTCTCCATATGCCGGATCATTGATGGTGCACAGTCCATGATTGATGAGATGCTGCATAATTATCAAAAGACTAGTATCTAGCGGATGAAACCGGTGCGTCCGAAAGAAAAACCCTCGGCATTTCAGGCTTCCGTACACTCCAAAGAAGTGAAAATTTTGATTTGACAAAAATTTAGTGTAGTCATAGGCAACAAAAACATTCGAATTAATCAATCCGGGTGGTGGATAGAAAATGACGCGACTGGGTTTTGAACATAGATCCATCATCATTTGCACGCAACGCTGAAGCCTGCACGGACAATCACGTTCGACACCTTCCGATAATAGACACCGAAATAGGTACTGACATTTGTCTGCTTCTGTCAGATTGGATGTATTCATCATATCCCACGGAGGATACCGAAGATCATCATAGTTCTCATCCGGCCAACATAGTCCACTCTCCAGTGTCCAGGCCGGTCGATATGGGCTCACCTCGCACATATAGTTCAAATTGCGCTTGGTGAAACACTCGCCAAAAGGTATGTTAAATCGTTGGAATGCCATTCGAGCACCCCACAGAATGCATTGTCCGTCGCCGCATGAGTACATGCCACGAATGCATAGATGTTCATCACATTCTATGGATTTTGGCGCGAACGGACATTCGTCTTCCATACCAAGATAAAGTTCATCGCTCCAGTCCATGCAATCGACATCCCCTAGAAAAATGATCGATATGAAAAAATCCTTTTTTAATTGTCCCAACTTACCATCAAGCCAGAATTCTTCAGCTATGCACATACCATTACTGCATCGGTATTCATCGTCCTCGCATTCGTTGAACTCTAATTTATCTCGATTCTCCTCGTCCATACCATTTAAACATCTCTGAACACCGTCACAAATCTCACGCCAATCGAGACAGAGGGGACTCGATTCGCAAGGGAGAGTAGTATAACAGAGAATACTTCCATATCGTTGCGTGTTCCAGAAATCACCCGTTCGTTTCTCATCAAACTGATTTAGGATTGCTTTGCTGAATGCATTCGTTCGATGTGTAAACTGATATTCACAATATTTCCCGAATGTTCCATATTGAGTGCAGTTGCACACAAATCGGGTATCGTTCTCTGCGAGCAGCGATCGATCGTAGAAAACAGTGGCATACAGATCGGCCATTTCAACGCTCGAAATCCATCGAAGAATTTCACTTGGTTGAATATCCTGATCGAGCAGCTCCAGAAAGTGTCTCTTTTCGCCACCATTCTCGCACTGTGCGCTAGTTCGATTGAGCTGCATACTTTCACCCGGACGTTGACAGTATGAAATCTCTTCGCCATCATTGTAGGTGTAATAAATACAATCAAATTTCTCTATATATTCGTTATTATCAGTATCGTAAAGTAAAACTCGACCCGGTATTGTGGCAATTATCAAAGTAGAGACATAAAGAAATAACAGAGTGCTTGCTCCTTGCCTATACATAATGATACATAATCTAAGGTTTTGTGCGTCGATATAACCGTTAATAATAGCAGATTTGGTGTTTATCACAGCTAATACGCAATTATTATTTACTGAAAGTTAATCTGATCGAGACTACCATATTTTAGTCGGAAATAATCTGTCAATCGTCACGTCTAGATTGCTTACTGTCTGGATAAACTCATTTGTCTGTTATGGTCTACCGAATGATCACGTATGAGACAATATTCATTCATAGCTGAATATGTTTTCTGCAGTTTTTTCTAACATTATTTAACGTCAAGATTACAATTAACTTTCAACAATATATGCTTTTTTATTATACATGACTTATCGACAGCGACCTGGTAAAAAAGGATCTCTCATTCTGATATTTGACTAAAAAATCCTATTCCCTGTTCTATGCATGTAAGTGAGTTCGGAAATAGCTTTATTAGTGATAAGAAGAGAAAGAGAGATCAGATAAAAACAAGCGATAGGTAAGAAGAGAAGAACAGATATGGAGTTAATACACACACCGCTTGGACACTTCGAGAGTTTATATATATATATATGTGTGTGGCCATGAACAGAATGGAAAGAACCATATATCATGACGTAAGGTGATACATATAACATGACGTCATGAACAGGTTATTTTCTCAAACACAACCAACTTGACAGGAAGAAACGACTTATATATAACTGTCATTCTAACGTTCGTTCTTTCGTTCTCTACGTATGTATCATGACTCATACTGTCGAAAGAACGAAAAAACTGTAGGCAAGAATAACGAACGCTTCTCAGAAAACATCAAGCCACTGATATCAATTGTTAAGTGAAATTCATGAAAGTACACAAATATGCATGGATACAGTATCATTCTAGCCGCAAAAAAATATTTTCTTCTTCGAAAACCGAAGAAATATATGTTTGCGAATCGTTAGATACTATTTTGAAAGAATTATGAATCGGTTAATCCTGTTATATGGAAACGATTAGTGTAAAGATAATGATTTAGTGAAATAATGCTAAAATTGAGAACAGTTTTCGAGTATTTTGACTACCGGGCCAACCTTCGAATTAAATGATTTATATACCAGTTTGTAGCCCTTGCTTCGCTCTATCGAATGATATATAAGAGAAATCTGCTCGCGGAAGAAAAGTATCCAAATGGCTCAAAATATAAGAAACTGTCATAATGCTTATTATAGGAAAACGACCATGATAGCCAAGATACCTCACAAAGAACCCATAGGTACTATATGAAATGATACAGAATTCAATACCCTGTCAATTGACGATCAATATTCTTGAATAATAAGTCAATAGAAATATCATAAAAAGTAGCTATAGGTCATAAGATCCTGTATAGTGCCTCACAATTTTTTGCAAAAAATCCCTACAATATTTCCATCAAAAATGCATACTCAACATCCGCAATTCTTCTTAAATTCGCTTCTACAAAGCTTATTCCACTTCCCCGAGATAGATTATTAATGAGTTTCCGACAAACTCACCGTGGCCCAATTTACATTGCTTATCCGCCCCCGTCCTTTACAAAATTTTACGATTTTCTCTAACCGATAAACTTCAGTAATATGTAAACGCGTTCGATATTCGATCGATCGATAGATCAATCGGATGGAAATAAAGAATGTTTCGGATATGCTCTGCATCCATCAGCTTCGTTTTCCCATCATTCATGTCGACCAAATGTCATTCATATTCGAATAGGATCGAAAAAAGTGTTTAAATTTTCAAGAGATGTTAAAACGAATGAAGAACTGTTAATAAGTTACAGTTAGTTTTGAAAGGAGACAGAACGATTTGAAGGAATGGTTTTTCTATTGTTCATGTCAACGATGTATCAATAAAGAATAAAAACTTTATCAAAATGACATGGATCAATTATCGACAAAATCGTTGTTGCCATGATCGTAAGGTATTTGCCAATTTTTCCTTGTAGAAACTCGAAGGAAGGACGAATATAATGAAAACAAGCATCGACGGAATGAATGAAATGAAATAAGCTGAGAGATAAAGGTAAGTATTCTGTGATACATCCACACAGGCAGAGAGCAACGCAATGACCAGACGAGGCGATGCGAGAATGATCAAAATCAAAGGACTGATCAGCAGTTGTTTATGTTGTTTGAATTGTTCATGAGCATGTTCTTTGTAAGTTCGGTTAGGTTGAGCAACTAAACGTTGTCGAGCAGCTCCAAAGATAATATATAATGCAGAAAAAAGATTGATAATAAAAGGAATCAGAAGATGAAAAAAGAGAATGACTGTATTATAGTTTTCAAGTGACGAAGAATAACGAGTGATGCAATAAACAGAATTCTCTATTGTAATTGGCAATGTTTCGTTTTTTGCTAATGTTGCATTATCATCAGTTTTGAACTCGAATACTTCGCGTTTGATAGGCTCATGAATGAGTGAAAGTATGATACAAAGTGGCAAAATCATAATTACCCAACGAGCAATACGTTTACTCTTTGCTTTGTTAAAACTAGCCCCTCGGGAAACATTGACTGCTCTTTCAATCGCAACACAAGCATTCAACCAAGTATCCAAGTATAGAAACATTTTCAGAATGGGTTCAATCGATTTACAGCCACCTGACATAACTGAGACATTCATAGATAAATTCATATGAGTGAGAACTAAAAACCAAAATTTTACTGTAAATAAGCTGATAGTAATCAGAGAAGTAATCGATGATGCTAAGAGATAAATTCCACAGCCGATTTCTCGTAACTCTTTGTTTTGAAACGTTATGAAAGAAAGAACACCATTGATTAAACCTACAATAAACATAATGATGGTTATAGCTGCACTCATTTTGACTGTGAATGGTTGATTGTTAAATGTTGTATCCCGTCGAATGTAATTACGTATAATATCATCAAGTGTCAAACCAATTGTTTTTTCATAAAAATAACAGAGACTACCAAGAAAACAACTAGTATGATTGAGATCTAAATCAATGAATAACGCGTGTTAATTGAGACGATCAAATGGCTTTCAAAGTTTATCTTCGCAGAGTGTTTGAAATTCTGGTAAACTTCTCCTTCGGATATAAATCTATCAATCTTGGTACGTATCACATAAGAGTTTTTTTTATCGACTGAAAATCGTTGAAATTTCTGAACTTTTTCAGAAGTATAAAATCTACTCACTACTATGTTTTAGAGTGACATTGTTTGGTCCAAACACAATGATTGAAAATGATCCTGTTTGATTTGGAGAAAAAGTTGTGACCACCAATATATAACTTATCTGTTTATACATGTAGTAACTCAGTTTAAATTCACGCAGACAGCCACTATCGCAATTCTCATTGATTACGTTTACGGATGGATTGAATGAATTAAATTTATTTTCATACAGATATCCACAGATATACATCGTACTATGACTACCAAATGTATAGCTACCGTCTTCAATAACATTCACTTCTATGGCTTCATAATAATAATTGGGTTGAGTGCAATCTCGAGAATATGTTGTAGAACTTGTTGTTAGGTTTGATACATATGTTGGTTGTACAGAAACAGATGAAATATCTATTGAATGCAAATAATAAATATAGAACTTAAAAGATTTTTAACGCTGCTTTCCGAATAAGAATATTCTTCTTTTATCTTTCGAGAAACAGTGTTGTACGACTGAAAATATCTCAACTCGGGTCAATGACACACAAACCTAAATGTACACGAGAAATATACTTATCATTACGTTTCAAAGTGACATTGTTTGGGCCGAGTACAGTGATTCTAAACGATTCAAACTTATTTTGTTCATAACTTGTCACCACCAATATATATGTATTTTCCTTTTGTAGATGAGGAATCCGTTTTTTCATACAATCGAAGTCAACATTTTCATTGAATTCCTTCATTTGATTTTCAAATGGATTGAATGGATTAAATTTGTTTTCATAAAGATCAATACAGATATGCTGCTTGTAGTCAATACCAAGTATATAGCTTCCATCTTCAGCGACGTTAATTTCTATGGCTTCGTAATAGTAATTGGGTTGAATACAATCCCGAGAGTACTTCGATGAATTTGTTGTTAGATGTGATGCATATATAGCTTGTATAGGAACCGACGGACTGTCTGTTGAATACAAACAATAAATGAAGAGTTGTTACACTTCATATGAGAAAATAAGCATAATATGTTTGCTTATAACATTCACTCAAGAAAGACAGATAGATATGAATTTTTTTGTGCTTTTACTTATAAGGTCATTTCGCTTGAGAGCGTAATAAGTACACTTACCACTGCGTTTTAAAGTAATATTGTTGGGGCCGAATGCAAAGACTGAAAACGATCCTGTTTCATTAGGAGTACTGGTTGTGACCATCAATATATATCTTTTTTGTTTTTCAAAGTAAGAAATGATATCAATTCGATGAATGCAATCACGATCAGGAAAAGTAAAAATCTTGTTTAGATCTGGACTGAATGGGTTAAATCTATTTTTATAGACAGCACCATATATGCCTATCTCGTTATCGCTACCAAGTGTATAGTTCCCATCTTCAGCGACGTTAATTTCTATGGTTTCGTAATACCTATTGGGTTGGATATCAGCTGGATAGTAAGCATGCTTTGAAGAATTTATCGTTAGCTTTGATGTATATGTTGCTTGTCCCAAAAATAATGGACTGTCTATTGAATGGAAACAATAAAGTTAGAAATTATATCTACTATATGAAATTAGATGTTGATGGTCAACGTTTCCCACAGGATTGTACTCAAGAATAGAATATATCCATGAGATACAGAACTATATAAAACTATCCAATAATCTTTGAAATTTATAGGTATTTTTAGAATGGAAAAAATTTTCTTTCTCTCTACTACTCACCACTATGTTTTAAAGTGACTTTGCTTGGACCAATTGCGATGATTGTGAATGGTCCTGTTTCAGTGGCAGAGAAAGTCGTGACCACTAATATGTAGGTGATCTGTTTTTGTAGAGAAAAGCTCAGTGTAAATTGATTGTCGCGGCCATCGTGGTTATTCTTGTTGATTTGATTGAAAACTCGATTGAATGGATTGAATTTGTTTTCATAAAGATAACCAGCAGTCTTAATTGGACTTTTAGCACTAAGACTATAGCTACCGTCTTCAATCACATTCACTTCTATGGCTTCATAATAGTAATTGGGTTGAGTGCAGTCTCGAGAATACCTTGAAGAGTTCGTTGTTAAGGACGATATGTATCTTCCTTGTATATAATCTGATGGACTACCTATTCAATATAAATAACAGTAGCGAAATGTTATATTTCATATGATAAATTTATAGAACACTTCTTTAACTGGTTATTACTTCGCAAGGTTTTTCAAAGCTTGCTTATTACTACTTTTAGAATGAATCAATGGCCAGAACAAGTATACTCACCACTACGTTCTAAAGTCACATTATTTGGTCCGAGTACAAAGATCGAGAATGATCCTGTTTCATTTGGAGCAAACGTTGTGATCATTAATATATATTTTATATGTTTGTACAAGTAGTAAGTCAATTTAAATTGGTAGTTGCACCCACCATCGTCATTTTCATTGATAAAGTATACAAATGCATCCGCGAATGGATCGAATTTGTTTTGATACAGATAACCATAGGTATTCATCTCACTATCGCTACCAAGTGTATAGCTCCCGTCTTCAGTGACATTAACTTCTATGAGTTCATAATTGTGATTGGGCTCAATGTCATCCGCAGATCGATAATACTTTGAAGAATTCATCGTTAAGTGGGATGTATATGTTGCTTGTATCAAACTTGAGGGTCTATCTATTGAAAAGAAACAGTAAAGCTCATGTGAGCAATTTGCGCAACATCCGTATTATTACTTATTAGATGTTGTTTTAGAGGCACAGAAAAAATCTGACTACTTTGAAAAATTCTTGGAAATTAATAAAATTTGATTTTGAATGTGACAACTTCTTTTTCGTCTCCGAAAATCAGTAACGTATATATGAAAACTACACTCACCGCTACGTTTTAGAGTAACATTGTTTCGACCAAATACAGTGATTGTGAATGATCCTGTTTCATTTGCAGGAAAGATCGTTACTACTAATATATAAGTTCTCTGTTTTTCAAGGTTATGTACCAGTTTAAATTGATCATTGCAGCCATTACCGTCATTTTTATTGAGTCGATTAATCAATGGAGTTGTTGGGTCAAATTTATTTCTGTAGAGATAACCAAACATATTCATCCCACTATCGCTACGAAGTATATACTTCCCATATTCAGCAACTTTAACTTCTATGGCTTCATAGTAGTAATTGGGTTGAATGCAATCGCGAATAAACTTTGGAGAATTGGTCGTTATATATGATTTATAAGTCGCCTGAATCGGCAGTGACTGAGCATCTGTAAAAACAAACATTAGTGAGCGATACTTATAGATCTGATCGAAGTTGAGAAAAAAGTAAAGGAGTGCACCTTCTTCCAACTAGAAAATAGCCGAGAATGTCTCTCATTTTATGATTTAAAAGTCTAAAGTACAGTTAACTATATAGTCACTGTTTCCTGACTACTTGGAATTTGAGATTCAAATTACATACCATTCGTGTTTGTTATCAACATAAACTTTAGAACTCGATAGTTGTATGTATCAGCAACAATGATGTTTCCAAGTTTATCGAAAGCAACGGTAGATGGTCCATTTAATTGATGATATGCTGAACCTCTGACGGTTAAGCAACCAACTATGCAATATGATCCGTTTGAAGTCGATCGAATAATGCGATTGTTTTTAGAATCCACGATGAACAAGTGATCATCAGCATCTACTATAACGTCTGATGGACAATTAAGTCCGATACGTGAAATTTTCATGTCTCCTAATACTGTTTCTCCAATGCGTTGTCCTGGTAGAAACAATATAATTCGATTGTTTTTACAATCCGCAACATATAAACTTAGTTTAATGGTTACAAAAATTCCCCGAGGTTCACAGAGCATATTCAGAGCTGAGCCACAAACACCATTACCAACACTCAGAGTTTCTGATATGTTTTCGCCAATGACAAGAGGTTGTTTTAGCACTTGATGCATTGCACCCAATGAACAGTATAAATTATTCATTATATCGATAAATAACCCAAAGCAAGAGCCATTAACTTTCGTGGCAACAGTACTCTCGGTTGCATCGAGTGTCCATTTTTCTACCGTACCTTTGTAACCATTGTCAGCATAAACAGTTCCATCAGTTGTGACAAAAAGACTCATTGGATGAATAAGATTGCCGAATCGTGGTCTTGGTATTGTGTAATCGTTAACACGCAATTCTCTCACAATTTAGTGTTTGAAAGAAGTGAAATAAATAGTATTATTTTTGTCAACGAAAAGATCTGTTAATTGATATTCAGATGGACTGGCATATGGAATCCAAGTTCCTTTTGGATTCCAGGTAGGGCATTCAGGTAGTTTTGGTTGATTGTAAGATACTTCTATTGAATTAAAAATAGATGTATTGTTTTAACCAGAGTAGATGACCTTATTGCTGACCTGATCTTATATGTATGAACTATTGAAGGGATCGGTTGGTGTTTTTTAGGAATACTATTACCAGTAAGACTGAATTCTCATTTTTCTTTTGTTCAATGTATAGAAGTGAACATAATAAATTTTCAAAAAAATGTCTATACGAAGAAGTGTCAAACCAAATCGAACTGAACCGGTCTCATCACGGCTATGAACTAAATGGCTTAAGTTCAAGCTTTAAAACTAGCTTGTGTCATGCATGAAAGTAACCTCTAAGGATATTAGTCAAAGCAAAGTAACAATCAGAAAACAATTTCATCTTGAACCGATGTACATAGAATGTTCAAATCGTGCCATTGAGAAAAATCCATTGCTCTGGGTTGCGGAAGACAAAGAAATATCAGCAGAAACTTACCAATACTTTCTCCTTTTGAGAAGCAAATAATCAAAAAATAAATCCACACCTTTAACTTCAAGGTGAGAATCATTTTGAGAGCTGTATAGTTTCAGACTACATTGACGAGAATAACTGCCATATAGAAAGAAAGAAAATGACTGACGAGTGAAGATAATTCCAGAATAAGTATAATTTTTAATACCTTTCTCGTATTTCACAGGTAAATATAGTTAAATGACAATGTGACAAAAAAAATTAAAATATAGAATTTCTGATCTCTGGCTAATACGCAATGCCATAGAATGAGAAAAGTCATGTGCTCTCTACTGCTTCATCATATGCTTATGATAGTCAAAGAAAAGCATTTTTGTCAATATATCTTCTCTGATTACCGAATATAATAATAAAATATATTTGAGAAAACTGTTTTTTTATGAAAAAAACTCTTTGAGACAACGGACCGTTTTTTACAAGGAAAAGTTTCTTTTATAAAATTTGTCTGAGTTGTTTTGGTCGATGAACTCGAATCTAACGTTATGTTTTTCAAACGTTTACATGTATCAATTTTTTTACACAAAGGGCGACTTTTTTTTGTAAAAAACAGCCTTTTTTTATAAAAATTTACCGAAGAGATTTTGCGGTCGAAGAGAACAAATCTTATGTTACTTTCTCGGAATTAAAGAAACTTTTTTCAAACCAAGGTTACCGATTTTCGGAAAAACATTTATAACTTGTTTACAAGTTCGGCCCTCTCTTGCTCAAGACGCTGAACTGAAACGTCTAGATGAGCTTGAGGAAAAGACAAAATGAGAATGTACCTCTTCCGCTTTTTGAACGTGTATAAATCGATACACTGTTAAGAGTTTAGTATTATTACAAGCATATAAAATGTATACTCATTTTTCAAAGTATCTTATATATGTTCATTTTTTTACCTCTTTCTTTACATTTATTTTAATTATGGTAGTAATCGTTTCTTTTCTCTCATTGTAGCAACTATTTCTTATCGTGTTTCCTTATTTTCTTTTTTTCACGTAATGACTCATAATCTATGTACTTATAATGACGTTTATTTAGAATATCTGGTTCTCGATTAGATATTTGGTATAAATATCTATTAATACTTTTGTGAAAATATCTAATCCACACTAAAAATAAATTAATATACACAATAATAGGTTTAAAGTGTAATATCTGAAAGCACGATTTCTACGAGAAAGAGCTGAGCGAGTCCCTAGACGAGCGTTACTTGTTTGAATAAATAATTTGTTGCATAGTAAATGTGTCCTCAGTCAGGCATATTTTTCTTTATTCCGTCGATTTCTTTCCTCTTTTTCACAGTTACAAGGAGCACATATGCTTAGTTACTGGCAATATTTCATATGAAATAGTTTCTTTTCCGTACATTTTGTTCTGAATTAATTTGAGAATTGCAACAATAAAGAAACGACAGTTTATGTTCGGACAAAAAAAGTCAAACACGTTCTTTTATATATATCTATAAGAGGTATTTGTGTATCGATTTCTTCTAACAAATATATTTTCAGAATTGGAAATTTTTCTAAATATTTATTGTACATAGCTCAGCCAATAAGTTTTCAGAATTTTAAATATTCATTCACAGAAACAACAGTTCGCTGATCTTTTGATATGAAATGCTTCAAATATTCTTCACAATATTCTATAGAAATTTTTATTGTATGAATCCCCTTCTAGGATGACAGATACTCATCACGGTTAAATATCTACCGCAATCGCAGCTTTGAAAGTCTCTGAATTTTCAAAATTTGTGACTGGTTTGAACTGAGTTTATCGTCTCTCGGAGTAGTGTAGAAATCGTTAATTCTAATCCAGTATTAAAACTTTCATTCGAATACTAAATCTTTTAGACTGAGCATTCAAGCACTCAAGTTTTAGAGGGTTTGTTCGAGTAGCTGTCTAATTCGACTTATGATATAAATGGAAAAAACCTAACTGTCTATGTTCATAAATCAATTCTAAACTTTGCACAAGGGAAAAAAAGTTTTTTTATAAATTTATAAATGGACCACACTTTCTGTTACTGTTTTTCAAAGACCTAGGAGTAGGTTGTTTGAGGGATGCTGAGAGTTTAATTGGACGCAGGTGTTGTTTAAGATTCCCGGATGTGGTCGTCGGTGATGAATGTTAAAGGGCAATCAGAAAGTGTCCAACTCTCCTGGTTATATTATGGTTTACTGATGAAATAGATTGAGAAAGTATTAGTGGAGGTGTACCATTTTCTAGACATTGATAAGATCTGTCATCGAAAAAATGATTATGCAAGTTTGAGCATGCCTGTCGAAAGATATGATTTTTCCGTGGAACATTTCAATTCTGACCTTTTCCTATGATATATTTTTGGATGACGGAATATACTCTTGTACCATTTGAAATACAGTGTGGTCGCAAGATGTTTCACATAATTCGTTAGAGTTTGAAAAGGACGTCAAGGATATCCTGATCCAAAAGCCATACAATGTGACTGCTGTTGGAAAATTGAACGAAATAAAAGGCCTATAAAGATTTTGCTGGCGTTTGATGCCAAAACGATGCTCAATTTTCCTGAATTGTAGTTCATTGAGTCTTCTCTTTGTTATGAAAACTGGAAGGCATTTTTCTTAAGTGCAGTGTCCGACAATGCATCTGAGCACACGAGTTTACATATAAAAACCTGACGTCAGCAAGGTCATAGAAGGTCGATGATTCTCTTATGCGTGCATGATGTTCACAACTGTATTTCTCTGTCTCTTTTGCTATGAGTTTTGTACATGAGAACGTTATCCGAATCTTGTTTTTAAGTTACTTTCATACAGCTCTTTCAGACTTTATCCAACCCGATAAAATACCGTTATTGCAATAGCATGGAAATCATTTCATCAGATATAAAATGACTGCAATATAAAAAGAATATTGTTAGTCTTGCAAAAATTATAAGGTAGAATATCTTCAACGGTGTTAGATAAAATCACCATAACTTTCACAAGTTCGATGAAACAGAACGGCGTCGAAAAAAGGAAAGACCTAATCGATGGGAACTAGGCATCAACAGGCAGCAATCGTGGCCGACGAGCAAGGGAGCCGGAAAATACAAGGGCACATCTCGTCCACTCGATCTAGCTACATACACGGCGTGTCATGGTCACCGACAAGCAAGAGCGTTAAAAAGAACGAAATGGATTCAGGTAGACCGGGTTCGGAATGAGAAGAGAACGTACTCTGATTTTGAAGCATCTTCTTTGCCCTGATGGACTGTTTTGCACCTGATACAGTCTCATTCTACGTCATGCTGAATGTACATGGAGTTTCTGCTGGGAATTACGGATGTTAGAATCTAGAGCAGTAATCGGTGTGCGAAAACGAGATACAGCATGTTACAATGTTTCCAGTTACGAGGATTCTCTGCCAGCTGTCTACTCTCCGTATTGTGGCCATGGTAGTGAAAGCCACACAAGCCGTGTATGCATTTAGAAATTTATAATTAGAAAGAAACTTTTTTTCCTTGTGCAAAGTTTTTATAAATTAGAAAGTTAGAAATATTGGAGTATGAATACGGTTTATTTTATAAGTAAAGTTTTTCATTCAACTGCGAATTTATATTATAATTATAATTAGGCATCTCATGGTTTGTTCTTAAGGTGCACGATGTAACAGACTGCTTTTCGCCTCCAGTTTGACGATCTCGCTGCGGCACCCACACTCCTTATGAGACAAACCTGCGGAAGAAAAATCCTAGTCAATTGCTCAGGCTGTTTAAGCGTTATGGGATAAATATACAACTGGACTCACTTTTTGAGTACACAAAAAAGGAAATGATTTCTTTTCTTGTTTTAATTATGAAATAGAGCAGATATAGTAGAAACCATCTGTGCTGTTTGCAGTGACTATAATAGAAATGAAGAGAAGAAAAGTGTGTTTTGATCGTATG